GCTCAACACTTTGTATTTCACCAACATAGTACCCTTTAGATTACATTTTAGAACACTTTGCAAAATTCCAGTCTCATAACATTTATATCTTGTACAAATCCATCTGAATATCCTGTCGCACACCGTATACAAGACCACCTATATATGATACACCCTGCACGCATTCTATTACACATACCCTTTAAGACACTCTATACAAGACACTATATAGAATATCTTATAGGATGTCCTGTAGAATATTTTCTCTATGTATCTTGAAACCTTTCATATGGAATGCACTGATATAGAATACCCTCATGCCTTATTGAATACCCTAGAGCTTCTGATACTTTCAGTCATGGACCGTATATCTTTTGAATATCCAAAGTACCTTACAGAATACGACATAGAATACCCTACAGAATACCCTATGGAACACATAGTACCCTCTATATATCGCACTCCTCATGGAAGACCGTCTGGAATACTCCAAAGAAGACCTCACAGAATGCCCCTATGGCCCTATATATGACAGTCCATGTATACAGTATATGTACCTTGAACACATATGACACCGCACGCATTATATTACACATACCCTATAGGACACTCTACACGACACTATAGAATATCTTATAGGATGTCCTGTAGAATACTTTCTCTATGTATCTTGAAACCTTTCATATGGAATGCACTGATATAGAATACCCTCATGCCTTATTGAATACCCTAGAGCCTCTGGAATACCTTATCATATGATCAAGCCTCACTACACGAAAGTGTACAAGGTGAAGCTGCCGAACGGCAACTTTCTGAGTGTGAAAAGCGGCACGCAGATAATCGACCGCTTTTGGGGACATTTGCGTAGCTTTTTGATGCACACAGATCGCACTCCAGGCAACCAGGCCCTCACAAGGAAGATTCGCTCAGCCCAGTTCACCTACTGGTTTCGCTATGGCAACATGTGGAAAGCCACAGGTACCATGCTTGACTTCCTTTGGAACAGTAGCTAGGGGAGCTGCCTTGCCTCTGCAAATGCCATCGCAAGCACCATTTTGATTTCGATGCTCCAGCGGTAAGCTGTGAATCGGCACCCAGCGACTCCTCGCGCACAAAACATCGGCCCGAAGCAATCGTGCATCAGTCCTGCTCCACATGGTTTGCCGAGACGTCGGACTCATGTTCGTACTGAAAATAATTAGATCGTCCACATCCAACAATCTTTGCCGCAGCATTCACGGTTCCAGCAAGAAACTTAGAGTAGAATGGTACCTGAATTCTGCTTCTCCAAACCCAAATTTTAGGGACAGTACAGCACTTTCGGGCACTGGAGCTTCAAAAGTGTTGTACTGTCCCTAAATTTGGCCTCTGCCAAACCCAACTTTTAGGGACAGTACAGCACTTTAGGGCACCTGGGTTTCAAAAGTGCTGTACTGTCCCTAAAATTTGGCTTTCCCAAGCCAAAAGTGCTGTACTGTCCCTAAAAAACCTAAAAAACCTGTCCTCCAGAGACTATCGGCTGGGAACGCTTGAAGGTTGCTGGGGGATAGGTTTTTTAGGTTTTTTAGGGACAGTACAGCACTTTTGGCTTGGGAAAGCCAAATATTAGGGACAGTACAGCACTTTGGGGCACTGGAGCTTCAAAAGTGTTGTACTGTCCCTAAATTTGGCCTCTGCCAAACCCAACTTTTAGGGACAGTACAGCACTTTAGGGCACCTGGGTTTCAAAAGTGCTGTACTGTCCCTAAAATTTGGCTTTCCCAAGCCAAAAGTGCTGCACTGTCCTTAAAAAACCTAAAAAACCTATCCTCCAGAGACTATCGGCTGGGAACGCCTGCAGGTTGCTGGGGGATAGGTTTTTTAGGTTTTTTAGGGACAGTACAGCACTTTTGGCTTGGGAAAGCCAAATTTCAGGGACAGTACAGCACTTTGGGGCACTGGAGCTTCAAAAGTGCTGTACTGTCCCTAAATTTGGCCTCTGCCAAACCCAACTTGTAGGGACAGTACAGCACTTTAGGGCACCTGAGCTTCAAAAGTGCTGTGCTGTCCCTAAAATTTGGCTTTCCCAAGCCCAAATGAAAAGGACTGCACAGCACTTTTCAACACTAATGCTTGTAAAATCAGATTGATAGTGACAGCATACTATTGTGCGTAGTGGTATATCAACAAATTTTTCCAAAAATACAAGTTATGTCATGCCTTTGGTTCCTTGGCGGTATTTTGGTGTTGGCACTCTGCCTCCCACTAAGCCATTGATTTCGGAACCAGATCCTGGTGTGCAAAATGTTCGATGTCAAGAGTTTGTAGACATGCTATGAGCAAAGTAGCTGTTCTACAGAGAAGCCGTTCCCGCTGGTATTTACAGCACGTTCTGCACATGGAGAAGGTAGGTTCGAAACGCTTGGTTATGCGTGAGAGAGAGGAACAGAGAGGGTGTGGATCTTGGGGGGGGGGGGGGTGACCATATATATATATATATATATGTATATATATATATATATGCGCGGACATCCAAACATCCGTATATACATCCATGCATTGCATTACGCTACGTACCACATGCATGCATGCGTACGTGCGTACATCGACATATAAATGACATGGTAGACACGTGACAAAATGGCTGAAGTAGGCGTGCTGGCAAGGGTTGTGGGTCTTGGCTTCTAGGCTTGCGGTTGACAGGCTGACAATCGAGCAACAGCCATATCAAAGAGAGGTCAGCACCATCACGTGATTTGAGCTGGAGCACCCGTCGTGGATGTCATCGGTACGAGTACTGTCTGTGTCGATGTTGTGCTAGTTGGTGGTGCCGGCGGTAAAAGCAATCAAGATGACCAGGCTTCTCACACACAACTGTTTTCAATCACGGTCGGAAAGTTCATGAGACAATTACACAAAGAAACCGCAGTTTCCCAGGATAAGCAAGGCATCTTCGTGACTCTGTGCCCAACTTGAATATGAACCCTGCAAAACCTCGGCTTTGTTCGCGTCCTCCACATCGGCGTCTTCCGACATCGAGGCGTACAGCTTGTCATCTGCAGTCCTGTAGCCACCCTGAGTTCGACTCGCCAGGCAGGTCAGCTCTGCACCCGTCATGCAATGTTATGTACATCTAGCACATGGCAGATACTGTTGCAGTCAAGGCAAAGCTTCTGGTAGTGGTCGTTGTCTGGATGGTGGTCATGGTGGTATTTGTCATCACCGTCTTGTCAGTGGTACTAGAGCTGGCCCAGGTGCTGCTTGCCGGTGAGGGTGGCAAAGAATGAACCCAATTCGAGTCGCGACCAGCTGCACCCACAACAGCAGTGATAAGAATAGTAGTCCATGTTGATGAAGATAATACAGTCACCGGCATCACCACATTCACTGTTCCGTTCCCAGCAGCCAGCAGCTAAGATAAATGTAGTCGCAGGAATGGAATTGAGACTGACACGATTACGAGAAAGGGTGCGACGATGACAGCGGGAATGACTGTGAATAATGTCGGGAATGACTGTGAATAATATAGAACCTAAAAGAATCTTACCCTTATCATAGAAGAGCCCTAGAAGAAGATATCCTCCTAAACTTGCAGCCCGAAAGCCGGCTTGGCAATGTGATCCTGGAGAACAGCCTGGCCAAGGGCAGTTGATGGAGGGTTTAGGGTTTCGGGCTTATATAAGGGCATTGTAAGTTTCTTCGCGACGTAGGGGTTCCATCAAAGGCTTCCGTAATGGTTATTCTAAAGCTACTATGACTATAAGGTTTATCTTCAGGGCCCACTGTGGGGCTTCTTATGCTTCGGAGTTCCGTGTTGAGGGTCCTTGCAACTTACAAGAAGGATTCTAGCAGGTAGGGCTTTACATAAGGGTCCTGAATTGTCCGAAAATCTCTGCTGATTCAAGGAGATCGGATTCTTCAAAGAGATCGGCATGCTATCGGCAAGCCTGGTTTTCTCGGATGGGGCCTCTTAAGAAGCCTAACGAAACACAACCAGCAAAGCGCAAATTCCCAACCTGCGCACAGGCATGTCGCAGCGTGAAAGAAGACACCACCGGGCATTGTATGTTGTTCCACAAACGTCAGCAGGAGCAGCAGCAGCAGCAGCATCGTGGCTACAGCAGGTCAGAACCCTTATAACACAATCACAGGAGCCCAACAAAATCCTATCAAAACCCTATACACTTATCAAAACCCGCAATCAAGAGAAATCGTCGGCCTCCACATTCCCGCCATTTTCAGCGGCGATCAGAGTCATCATTTTCCGCAGCTCATCCGCATTCGGCACTGGGCTGTCCTGAAAGTCTCATCCGGCTTCTCGGAAAAGCTACAAGAAGGATTCTCAAGGAAGTGCACATTAGGTGCTGCAACTTGTAATGAATATCAGGCCGGAAGAGAACACCATCCGCGACTTGTACGCTCGATTCCGACCTCTCTCCCTGCTTGACGGAGGCTGGCTCTACATCGCTCCCACTTTGCTTCAATCATGTACCAGAAGTCCCGCAGCAAACCTCCTAAACCCTAAACCCTGAAACCCTAAACCCTGAACCCTGAACCCCAAAGGCCTCCCCAGGGCCGCCGCTGGGCTCCGGGGTCCGCGCCTCTTCGGGCGGGGTCTCCAGGGGGTTTGGGGGTTTAGGGCTGGCGATTGGTGTTTGGAGATGCTTGGGATTCGGCCTTAGGGTGTGGGTTTTGGGGTTTGGGGGCTGTTTTGTGTTGGCTGTTCAGGGCACCGTCGACCCTTTGACAGGGCCAAGAGGTGCCTACAGGCCTACAATTTTTTATTACGATTATATACGGTTACTACTACTATACCTGCTGCCATGACCATCCCAGGAAATTGCGCTGCCGGGCTTGGTGTAGCTTGTCGGCTGGTTCTTGTGATGTTGATGGGGTGTCGATTGGAACGAAGTTCTTCGACAAGGCTTGGCTACTTAAAGCAATTCCTCGACTGACATTGACAGCCGACACAATCACAACATCCCCAACACACGCGGGAGGCCCCAATCGTGTACGGCCGGAAATCATTAGAACTCAAAGTGGCATACTATGCTACAACTACCACTAAACAACACACGGGCCTCAACAATGACACCAGGGCTTTGGTACATGCTGTAGAATACTTCTGCAGGGACTGCAAAGGGAGACTAGCACTCTCGATTCAGATCTGTAGCTTAGAGGCCCTTCCTTCTGCGTCTAGCGCTGGACCCGTTTTCAGAGACCAGGCCTTCAGACTCATCTGGGGGAGCTCTGGACCCTTGGAGAGCTGGAGGGTCGGATTTAGGGTTTTGTCACTAGGGTTCTTTTTTTTGAGGGCCCTTTTCCTTCTTGCTACAGTCGGAATGCCTAGCAGGTAGAGCCAGGGGTTTAGGCTTTGGGGTGTAGGGTTTATGGCTTCAAGTCCATGAGTTCTCAAGTTGCCTGCTGCCTGCTGCCTTCATGATTAAAGAAGCTGGGCGGATCTTCCGCGCCCGTCAACTCAGAACTGTAGTTGTGATAACCGCCAAGAAGTCGGATTAGGGTGCAATTTAGGGGCCTTAATGATTGTATAGGTAATTATCACCGCGAAACCTAGGACTCGTTCCAGCTTTGATACCCGCTTTGGCTGCAGGACCTTCCAGGTCTTGGTTCCAGTTTAGGCAACAGTCTGGGATTGTTGCTGGAAAGTCAATCTCTAGAACTCAAAAGCAATCCAACAGCTAGTAAATTATACATTTACATATATATATAATCATATACTAGAGATTTCACATTATATATTATACTCTACACCTGCAGCACTTCTGGAGAGTTGGGGCTTTCGAGCTCTGGTTGACGCGCAGAGCTGCAGCTTTAGGTGTTTCCAGGTGACCTGGTTCTAGGAAGCAGATAGGTTACCGTCAGACGTTAAGTGTGGACCTCAAGGAAAACGCTAAGTTCCCGCTTTCGTCTAACTCCAAGCAAGAAAAGACAAGGACCCGATTTGCCAGCCACGTAACAGAGTCACGTGCCGGCTCCGCCGCTGCGGAGGAGCGCGGGGACGCCTCCTGGAGATCGCGCCCATACTAGACACAAATCTTCAGTTATTGCTCCCATGATGAATAGACCCACTTTTCCAAGAAGTCCTTCGATACCCTAATCCCCAAAACCCCTTCAAACTTAATCCCCGTGAGAACTAAACTACGAAAACTTTCTAGTAACTGTTACGAGTGCTATAGAAAAGAGTACTGCTAAAAGTTCCTGGAAGCTCTCCGGTGGGGAGGAAACCGAACGAAGAAGTTGAGCTGCCAGAGGCGGCTGCAGTTCCGTCGGCGAAGGCTCCTTCAGGGTTTCGCCGAACAGTCTAACAACAAGAACTCTATAAGGGTATGTTCACAAGATGTTAGCAAAGTTGAACCACAGTATTACACCAGTCCTTCGGTCAAGAAAACTCAAGCAGCCTAGTTTTACCATATCATGAAACAACAGCGGCATCTTGGCGTTAAGCACCAGAGCAAAACACTCTTCCTCGATGACTCGATCACGATACACGATGACTCTTAACTCACCATCCTGCAGGGGATTGAGTTGAAGAACTGATTCTGTTCACTGCCCTCGGGGCTCTGGTCTTCCGATGACGGTTTACATCAAGAAGACGGTGCCGGGAAATTCCCACCGAAACACCCTCCACATTAGCATGGTGTTGGAGGCTGTGGCGAAACCATGATTCCCGATGTAGTTGAGTGCTTCGGGTCTTTGCTTATTGGGAAAGGGGGGGTTAAGGGCCCGTTAGGGCTTCAGCACCGTAAAGGAAAAGCTCCTGCACAAGTCCCAACTGCCAACCCTGAGCCACTTCACAGGGGACTATCGTGATCTTCTGGTGGCACAAGGTTTAGGGAGTAGAATAAGCCCAATACATCGGCAGCGCATCTATCGCGGCCTTTCGTCGTATCCCGGCGGGGCCCGCAATCAAGGCATCTTATTATTTATGTTGCTTGAAACGAGGCTCAGACTGGAATCTGCGTATGAAAGGCTTTTCTGCAGCTCAAAATGACATATCATGATGTCATGTTATTTGTGGGAATGCCATATGCCATGACTGTTGCTCCATAGCCACATACCACGGCACTCACCACATGGCCATATACAAACAGTAGATATCCGAATGTGTTTATACATATATACATACCTATACATACAAAGTATATCGAAAAGCCATTGTACACATACAACTATGACCACTATTAGCAAGGTATATGTACAAAATTACGCCTTTATGTGCTTACTCCTGTGCACCTACCGGCGCATAGTCGTGGCTATGCTGTGCTTGCAGAACCTTGCTTGATCTTTTGTTTGCTTGTTCTTTGGCGCGGCACTTACCCAACCCTTAACCTAGGAACCCCTAAATCACAAAAACCCAATAAGACCCACTATCCCCAACAAACCGCTGTAAACCTTTGTAGGAAGCTCGTACGACCCTGAAAAAGTCTTATCATCCTGGTACCAAACAAACCCTGGAAGGCAGCAAGCAGAAAGCATATGCATGGCCTTGGGCCGACTCACTGGCGTATCCTCTCAGGTGCAACTGGGTTTAGGAGTTAGGTTCAGGTTTAAGAAATGGGAATTAGGATGTCGGCTGAGAGTTTAGGGTTCAGCACTTCGTTGAGCAGGATGACACAAAGCAGTGTGATACGCTGCACTTGTAGTAGGCTTCAATTGTGCGCAAACACACCCACACACTCTCACGCACTCTCCCTCTCTCTGCACTGCTCCTTTTCTCTCTTGCTTGCTAACACTATCTCTCTCTTTCTCTCTCTACGTCTCCCTCCCTCCCTCTCTCTCTCTCTCTCTCTCTCTCTCTCTCTCTCTCTCTCTCTCTCTCTCTCTCTCTCTCTCTCTCTCTCTCTCTCTCTCTCTCTCTCTCTCTCGTGTATAACTTGTAGCAGAAAACCTATGATGTTAAGCATGTTGGGCAGCGATCCTGCATGCATGCATGCATGCATGCAAGACTGAAATTCACAAGCCGTGACACACACACACACACACCCATGCACGCACGCACGCACACACACACACACACACACACACACACACACACACACACGTACGCACGCACGCACGCACGCACACGCACACGCACGCACGCGCACGCGCACGCGCACGCGCACGCACACGCACACGCACACACACACACACACACACACACACACACACACACACACACCCACGCACGCACGCACGCACGCACGCACGCACGCATGCATGCACGCACGCATGCACAGTGTGCACATGCATGTATGCATGAATGATCATGAATGTATGTATGTATGTGCGTGTGCGTGTGTGTCTACAAATACATATATACAAACACACATACACACCCATATACACATGTGTGACCGTGTGTGTGTGTGCATATATACATATACATATATATATATACATATATATATATATACATACACGTTTGTATGCAAGTATGTATGTATGTATGTATGTGTATGCAAGGCCATTGCTAAACCCCAAGTCCGAACCTCAACTGCAATCCCCGGACCTCACAACCTCATAAATCCAAAGCCCCAACCCCCTAAACTCCTAAAATCTCAACCTTCAGTTTCTCGTCTCAGCGTCCTTCGTAGTAGGGCTGGGAGCCGGCGTGGAAGAGACTACGACTCCGCCAGACCTCGGGTTGAATTGGTTTAATGTAGGCGCCTTGGAAATAAGAAGTATTAGGCTGCTTTCAGGGATCTATATTGCTTGCTATGATGGCCTGCTTGTAAAGGTTCAAGGCTCAGGGACTAGTACAGGGGCCTGAGTCAGTAGTTATCTTTGTTCGTGTTAAAGGGTCTAAGGCCTTCTGGGGTTTAGAGGGTTTTGAAACCGAGGGCTCGTGTAGCAGCAGCTATGATATTGGGTGGGGGGGGGGGGGGGACACATATCATATGGGAGCCCAAATACCAATACTATTTTGGAGGTTCCTTGTTACAAATAAAGTATAATGGGCGCCTAAACTGTATTCTAAATCTTAAGGTCCCTATGTTATTTGTCTATGGTCAGGGTCATACGGGAATCGCATTGGCGGCGACTCAGTTTCCTTGCTGGCTGGTTTGGAGCCTGCAGAGCTCGATGTCTTGCGCTGTCTGAAATGCTCGGACCTCTCAGCGCATTCCCACAAATCACCAGCTTGACTGCCCAATGAGAATGCTATGGGAGACGCCATGCGCCCAAAGAGATGCAAGCTGCGAGCAAGCATAACGCCGACACTGAGATCATGCCGACGGTTATCGAATAAGGAGTTGGACATGCAAGCTGACACGTCGGCCCGCTGCCCATGGAAGAGTTCACGAAACCCCCATTTCGCTTCGGCTGGATCTTGACAAGACTGAGCTGGAGGACTCGTGTCGGGTAGCAGGATCCTTGTCCGAGACACAGCATCGAGCATCAGCGATGAATTGCTGGCAGGTAGGCTTCAGCAGGAACACGAATACAGCCGTTTCATGAAGAAACCCTGGTCCAGAAAACCACAGTACAACAGGAGTCAGATTAAGAACAACAGTAATTACCTGGATCCGAAATTGAGCAGGAGTCAGATTAAGAACATGAGTCATTAACTGGATCGGAAATAAGAACCTGAGTAATTACTTCTCCGAAACTTTTTTTGCCTGAGCCTCAACCTTCTTCCTGGCTGGGGCACCCGAAGCCCTCGGCCGGTCGTGAAGCGCAGGCGCGCCCCTGCAAGCTGGGCCCAAGGCTTCTCGAATCGTCTCTTTTTGAAGTTTCTTAGGTAAGATATGGGAGTTTCCGAAACTGGGGGGTACCTTAATCTGGGGTCCTTGTAATAAGGATCCTAGTATTTAGTGCACTATATTGGGGTCCCCTACTTTTGGAACCTTTTATATGGGGGTGAAAAGCGCTGGAAGAAGCGCAAGGAAATGGCCATAACCGGGTCGAAGACTGCAAGGTGCCACGAGCATGTATGGTTTGAGATGAGGTGTAGGTATAGGAGACACACCTGTTGAATCGCGTTTGTGGGCTGTTGCTCCACGTTGCTGGACAGGAAGCTTCGCATCGATCTGCAAAGCCCAGATGTTCGCACCAAACTTGAAACCTAATCAGGTTTTAGGGCTTCTAGGTAGGGTTGCAGGCAAGGACTATACACGATTTCTGCCAAGACCATTACGCAATGCTCGCCGTCGCCGTCGACTGCAAGCAGCCAGGCCATAGTCACGATAGTTCTGGGTCAAGTTCTGCCGAAGAAAACTTGAGGGACAGAACCTTCGATTTGTCGGTCTTGACAGCCGACCTCAGTTTTACAGCACATTGCTTAGCTCCAAATCGGGTGTTGACAATACAAGCCGAGGATACTGAGCATCATCATAACAACCACAGTAGAAGTCATGACAACTAAATGACAAGTAAACACAAGTACTTGCTGGTGGTGATACAAAGACTAGTGATCATTCATAATCATAAGAAGAATCTGATTCTTAAAAACCCAGAAAATATTAATTATCCCGACGGTCCACCCAGAGAAAAACAAGAAGAACAAACCCATAGTTAGAAGAAACGTCTCTCCCCTGCTGAACCATGGGCCTGAAGGCTTCGCTGCCTGGCGCCCAGGTCTGTGGCGACCTGCATCTTCCCCTTTTAAGCATTCGGGCTTTCGGGCTTTCGGGGGCATTAGGATTCTAGGGCTTTAGAGCTTTAGGGCTTTAGGGCTTTAGGGCTTTAGGGCTTCTTTAGGGCTTTAGGGCTTTAGAGCTTTAGGGCTTTAGGGCTTTTTTAGGGCTTGAGGGTCTTAGGGCTTTGGAGTTTGGGGTTTAGGGTGACTTAAGCATTCAGTTGCTTGAAGTCCGATGGATCCACGGTCGCAGCGACAGCCGGCTCAGGGATCAGGGTGTTGGAGTTAAAGTAGCGAAACTGTGGCAGAAACAACTCACCTCCACTTATCCAGGAGAAGAAAAGCCAGTAGCAAGGCGGGTCGCCGAAGTCAGGTAGCATCACCCTTTTCCAAATTAGATATCGGGGTCTGCATTGCACCTTGTGTCTCTTCCTGTAGCCGGGCACTGTGAATGTGTCGAAAACGGCGGGAAACGTAGATTTCAGACGAGAACTACATGTGGCATTTGGAAGGGCCAGAACCCTCGAAACAGCTTACGCATTCAATCATTTCATGCTAAACGCCAGACAGGAGCATCCGTTTTCGCAAGTTTGTGCTGTGGATGCTACCAGGCTGTGGACATGGAAGCTGTGGACACATTACGCACAAGACTTTGAGCAGAGACCCGACAGCATGCTCACTACAGTTCCTCCACCCCACCTTCATCCAGAATTCTAAATGAAAAAGAAAGCAACAAGAACCGTGCATGTTAGCTGCGCCGACGCCTGAACCATGCTAGGTGCGCCGACGCCATGAACTAGCTAACTAGCGCAGACTTCATATGCCCAACTTGTTCTAGGTCATAATAAGGATACCCTTTTTCCTACTATTCGGTTTTAATAAGGGGGGCCCTAAGATACAAAGGGCAAAAGGGTACTACTCAGGAACCTAGCCCTCTAAGCCCGTAACAATACTGAACTTAGAACCCTAGCAAAAATTATGATTCTAGCTGTTTCTTCGGGATTATAATAACCAAAAATTTTGAAAAAAAAAAAACTAAGTACCCCTAAGCTAAGCCCAAGGGCCCGGCCGTGGCCCAACTTGCCGCCATCTCCGCGAAAAACTCACAGCGGATGCGGGCCTGGGCTTGGTGTCGGTGCCGTTTGCAATACAGTAGGGAATACCGATAGTGGGACTACAGCATGAGAGTGCTTTCAAGCATGGCGTGTGAAGTTTAGGGGGTGGGGTTTAGGGATTCGGATTCGAGACCTTTGGAGAGGTGACAGCGCCCCAGGCTTCGGGGTTGCAGGGCTTTAGGCCTCAGGAGCTTGGAGAGTCTGCTGAGCTGGCACATTTAAACTCTCGACTAAAAACTGAGAAAAAGAGGAAGACGGAGAGAGAGGGAGAGAGAGGGAGAGAGAGAGAGAGAGAGAGAGAGAGAGAGAGAGAGAAAAAGAGAGAGACAGCGAGAGAGAGAGACAGAGAGAGAGAGAGAGAGAGAGAGCCAGAGAGAGAGAGAGAGAGAGAGAGAGCGAGAGAAAGAGAAAGCGGAAGGGAAAGGGAAAGGGAAATGGGGAAAGAGAAAGAGACAGAGACACAGATCCGAAGAGACAACCAATACTAGCACGAAGGACAATGGTAACCATGAGCTGATGGCAGTAGTGCTCGCTGTGATAGATTTTATTGAAAGTCTGAAATCTGTCGCGTAATGTGAATGAATGCCTGTGCCTGGTCTTGTTCCGATCGTACCCTTCAGCGCTGTTTTTGGCCCTAATCTCGAACCTTAAGCTGCTGGCTGATTCCTGGTCGTACGAGCTGATCCCTGAGCCCACCCTTTCTGCCCAGTCCCAAGAATTCTAAGCTTCTAAGCCCGAAACCCTCCTCGCCAAACCCCAAACCCCGCAACCCCGAATTCCTGAACCCTGAGCCCTGGGGAGGTCGCCAAGGCCGCACCGGGCTTCGCGACAAGGCTGCGAGCCTCTCAGCTCATTGCTCTTCTGCTCTGTCCCTCTGTCTCTCTCTCTCTCTCTCTCTCTTTCTCCCTCTCTCTCTCTTGCCTGCTTGCCACTAGCCCTAGGGGTCCTACCCCGGATTCACCCCGCACGCAGTCACCCAGCTGTGTTCTTGTTCCCTGTTCCCGCCGCAAGACTGGGTCTATCGCTATTGGCGACGCTCGGCGTGAAACTCCCCTCTCGCTCGCTCCCTTAAGTAGATTATTCGATGCGGCGCATTGCTCGGGTCCACGGTCCATGACCGAAGACTCCGAAGTCCATTAGCTCAGCCGCAACGTCCCAAGGAAAATCAAAGTACCGGATCCCTGCTGGGCCCAAAGGGAACAACCGGAAAAGTACTTCGAACTCCAAACATCGATGTAATTTCCCCGTCCAAGTACATTACGCGTGTCAGGGAGGGGTGGTCATGATCCCTGCAGGAGACAGCAAAGACAGAGCAAGAGCGAGCATTTCCGAAGCTATGAATTGCACTCTGGAGAAGGCTGGAAGTTGAAAGGTCCTCTCCCCGTGTCCCCAATCTTAAACACACATCCGAGAATAATGAATCCAAACAGAGAGAAAGCTGATGGCTGCTCACTTGCATACTCGAGTCTGCCTCTGCCTTTATGTCCAGCAATTTCGCGAGAACCTGGTCACAGCTTTAAGTTTCGCTTTAAGGAGTCACGCTTGAAAGCCCTACAGCCCTACAGGCTAGGACGTAGTGCCAGGGCGGCTACGGCAGCACATCAAGTCCCAAGCATTTAATCTGGCCCATTCTGGCCCGCTGAACCCTCGACGGACCCACAATAAGACTACGAGGCCTCAGATAGGGACGCCCTGTCACAGTGGAATACATGCCAAAAGACAGACGGCCTAAAATCGCAGCGGACGGCAACATGTCAGCCTGCCACCCTTAGTGCTTCCGTCCACGAGTCTCGGCGCCCGGCGTCCGTATCGATCGCGGCCATCTTCAGGTGAGCCTCACCGAGCTTCGGGTTTCGGGCATCGCCATTTCTGGGTTTTGAGCCTGAGCTTCAGCTTCACGTGGCAAACCGCAGATCCAAAACTCTCCACCCACGGCCGAGGGCTCGATTTTGGGACCTCCTGGTACATTCGGACAAGCATAGAAACAGCCACAGAAATCGGAGCCATGCTCGCAATACTCCAGGAATACTGTACGGGCCTAAACTAAAGAATTACCAATCCCATCTTGGGGTTCCTCACTTTTAGTTGGTTCCTCATTTTAGTTCTAGCATCATGTACCCCAAAACCCTAGTCTGACGTTTGTCCGATCACACAGCCCAAAACCCTATTTTCGGAAACCCCCATATTAGTGACAGAAGAACACAGCGAAGCCTCCTGGAGCGACTCCTGCAACGCATCTGTTCGCACCGCCGAACGGCTGCCGGCCTAGAGATGCTTGTGCGAATGTACCGACATGCTACAAGAGTGTGAAGGTGTATATATGTGCACATATATGTATACATATATATATATATATATATATATATATATATATATGTCTATATACATATGTATAAATATATATACATAAATATATATATACATATACATATACGTACAGACACATACCTTTGTACATCAATCCATCCATCCATCCATCCCTCCAACCATCACATTATGCACATATGGCGCATGCATACCTGCATACATACATGTATGTACGTATGTAATTATGTATCTACGTATGTACGCATGTATGTATGTACGTATGTATGTAGGTATGTGTGTATGTCACATACACGCATACTGTGTGTATGTATGCACGTAGGCATGTACGTATGTACGCATGTGTATGTGTATATATACACACATTCACTTTGATGTTGATGTTGGTTTTGGTGTGTCGCTGTTGATATTGATCTTGATCTTGGTGCGGATATTATTGGTAATGAGACTTGTGTTGATACTGATATTGGTATTATGGTTACTGATCCTGATACTGATATTGATACAAATACTGATGCTGATATTGAAACTGACACTCGTACTGGCAATAGTATTTTTGTCGGTATTGATATTGACATGAGTAAGCCATCCTTGACTGTAAGCAGTGGGTCGGAAATCCTGTATAGGGTTTCGAGATCTTGTGTTGAGGGGTCGGGAAATGTCGGGAATTTGGATGGCTTTTTACTTTGAATGCCTGGGATTTCAGGGCCCCAAGACCCTGAACCTTAAAACCAAAGCTCAAGCACGACCGAGCCGCTGCGAAGAAGCTGCTGAACGTCTGCCTAAGAGCATGGGGTCTATGAGCCATGGGAGGGGCCATCTAACGGTCCCAAGACCCTGAAAGGCTTAGACTGCAACATCCCACGGGGTTGAGAGGCTTCCATCCCAACTTCAGGCACCCTGAGCTCAAGACTTCCCGACGCTGAGCTGGATCGGGGCTTCTGGTGTTGTGTTGAGATCTCACGACCCTGCCAGATGGCACGATCAATGCCCTGTACTTGCATGCTATACATCTGAGTGAACTCTGAAATTTTCAGCACGGGACCAAAAGCGCTGCACCCAAGTCCTCAACCGCAAACCACTGCCCCTGGACCCTCAACTAAAACCCCAAGTCACTGAACAACAAGCTCTCAATCCCAAACATTTATGCTCGAAGCCGTCTGCAGGTGACCTAAACCTTCGACAAATTCGTCGACGTTGTTCTGGGACTACACTTCAAGAATGTTACTCGACTGCGAAGCTTGAACTCAATGACGAGAGTCGGCCCCCTCTTCACGGCAACCAACTCCTGAAGGGTAGGCAAGCTCATGGTTTTATGTTCGGAAGGCTGTGGGTTCGGGTTTCGGCGTGGGGGGCTCAGACCGCTGGGCTTTGGCCCGAGCACCGTGGCTACTGTAGGGGCGCTGATGATTGAATAGGGTTTAGGTTTAGGGGGTTCCTTATTGTAACTATAGTATATTGGGCCCCGAAACCCTATTCCAATGAAGGCCGTCGGTGGCATCTGCTCCTGGACTACGAATATTGGCCTTGTTGTGTACCTGTCCTACTGCAATTTCCTGACCTTCTTGTGATTGTTTATCCTATCCTTGTTGTTCTTGCTTCTCGTTGTTGCCTATGCTTGCGTATGCGCATAAGCACTCACACCAACCAGCCACCAACATCATCATAATTCAGAGATTTGTGCATACTGGCGCTGTCCTGCTGGCACTGCTCGGCCGTCTCTTTCCAGCGATCACGTTCCTATACTGAACTTAGAACCCTAGCAAAAAATATAATTTTAGCTGTTTCTTAGGGATTATAATAACCAAAAATTAAAAATTTTTTCTAAGTACCCCTAAGGTTCCCGTATCTGGTCACGCAGCTGCTCGTGCTGCAGGAGCTGGCTGTCCACGCACTCGAGCACCTGCTAAACACCACACAGCTTTAGGGTTTAGGGTTTAGGGTGTGCAACCGTATGCGCGCGGTGGGTGCGCCTTTTACTTTAGGAATAAGGGGCGCACCCACTAATCGCGCGCTTGCGTCAGCATGTAGTCCCGCCCCAACCACCCCAACTATTCTCAATTAGGGTTTAGGGTTCACCCCCCAAACCCCCCTCAAGGGGGGCTTTCTTGCTCTCTGCTTCCTTTCGCAGCTCGACATGTAAACAACAATATTTCTCCAGAAATCACAGCTGAAATGGATTGCTGTCGGGTTGTGGGTCCTCGCGGCCTGTGGCGGCCGCTCGACGAAAAGAAGCGTTTCCACAAACAACTTGGTTGTCGCGCCCTGTAAGGGCTGCTCGAAGTGTGAACAGGCGGGGCAAGAGGGTGGGCAGGCAGGGCAGGAGGGGCAGGGCGGGTAGCAGGGCAGGGCAGGCAGGGCAGGCAGCAGGCAGGCAGGAAGGGCAGGCCACAGCAGCAGGGGGGTCCCAGCCAGCTTGGGGACCCAGACCCCCCTGGGGGTACCCCCCCAGACCCCCTCAAAAAACACAAACGAAACCAACGGTTTGCATTCCATCTTTACTGCCGTCACTACAGTCCTCGTATACCGGGAGGCTTTACCCTCCCTCACCGTTCTGACGGGACGCTCGGTCGGGGACCTCGGTCGAAGCCTCGAGCGCTCATGTAAATGGTCAGCGGCGCTCTCGGCAGTTTAGGGTTTATGGTTTAGGGTTTACCACTGTTGCATACTGAGCAATTACGGGTGGATCTTTGCAAAAGATGAAGTTACGCTGGACCTGCCGATGATTCCGAAGCCGCTGCATGTCAGAAACAAAAAAGAAGCTAGGGCCTACGACAGAAGAAAGCTTCACCACACGGTTTCATGTAAAGGCCTGAAAGTTTCCGGCTTGGGGCTATATAACCAGATTCGAAACCCTCTAAAAACCTTGGTCGCAAAACAATAACCGATGTGCTTCTCTGCTCCGCGACACCTCTTCCTGCAATCTCTTCTCCAAACGGTAGCGCGCGCTGCCGCGGCCGCCGGCGTTGGGGCTCTTGGACAGTGTCTGCCACATCACCGTCTGGACGGCCTGTTGGCCAAGTGGTGCAAGGTTTAGGGAAGCTTAGCGCTTTAGGACCTTGCTTCGTCCAACAGCCTTATGTAAGACCACTTTTGAAAAAACTGCATGTCCTTCGTGAGCTCAAGCTTTAGGTCCGGCAAAAAACCATAATCAACAACCAAACGTCCCGAGATTAACGGAAAACCCTGAACCTGACCTTCCACCCTACTATATGGGGGCCTTTATAATTAGAAATCATTTAGGCACCTATACTATACTACCCTTATGGATCCCTTGTAGTAACTCCTATAGCCCCTTTACGCTAAGCCCCGGTTAAACCGCCTTGTCCAAACCTGGGCTCAGATCGTCGCGCGACTCCTTGGCCGCCAGGGCCAGGCCGCCTGAGGAGTGCAGTGTTTGGGGTTCAGGGTTAGGGTTTTAGGATTTAGGGATCAAGGCTTTTGTTTAAGCTCATTCTTTTTGGGTTTAGGGTTTTAGGATTTAGGGATCAGGGTTTAGGGATTAGGGTTTTGGGGTTAGGGTTTTAGGATTTAGGATTTAGGATTTAGGGTCTAGGGTTGAGGGTTGAGATTGGTAAGGTACGGATCACAGCACTCCGCATCGCAGCGAAGCACTCTATAGCACAGAACAGCACATCAGGTCACATTGGCCATATAATATCATCCCATATCATCATGCAAAGCCGTGCCGCTACTGCAAACCTGGCTGTTGCCATAGGTGACCATGCTTCTCCCATCACCCTCGCTGTGCGTCCAAGGCACCCAGCTTCACTGCCAGGGTCTCAGGACCTGCCCATGCCCGGTGCGGCGCTCCAGATCCGTTCAGGGCTTCGGAGGGTTTTGGCTAGAGACTCAAGACTTTCGGCTGAGGGTCACCCGGTTCTCGAAAAGCCACTACAAAGCCTGAATCACAACGCTTGTTTCGAAGCAAAGTGCCCTCAACATCGCCGCTACAGTGGCCCTCGCTCGACCTCCGGTGCCAGCGCTTGGGCTCTTGTCCTCCAACAGGTTCCCAGAACATGAAGAAGAAGCGGCATACGGTTTAGTGGGTAAATCTGATTCGCTGCGGTGTGTAATGATTCATATATGGCCGTTCAGATGCTTGCATGCTCTTTCCGAAGGGTGGCCAGACAAGTGTGGATTTTTCGGGCTACTGATGAGAAGGCTTTACGCCGCTTCAGCAAGGCTGAATAGGGGCTACATGATTTACGGTCTTCACTGTCAAGCATACAGAGAAATCTGTGGGAAAGGATCGAGGCCTTTATTCAAAGCCCTCCGAGGTCAGCACGTCAGCCAAAAGCCTGCAATAGGATAACCAGAAGCTGAGAGCTCTCTACCATCACCCGAAATTTGAGCCCCGACTGCAAGACGCTCTGAAGTCACGAGGCTTCCGCAGCGGCTTCTGTCCTGTGCTGGAGGTGAAGCACCACCGCCTCAGAAATTCCAGTTGTGGCGGTGATAGAAGCAATTAGAAATAGTCGTCGTCCTTGTCGTAGCTGTGGAGGTTTATCCCCGAGGCCCTTCGACATTGCACCCAAGACCACTCCACGGAACGGCATGAGCACCCCGTGAAAAATCATGGGATACGCTTGGCCTGGCTTTTGGGTTTCGAAGTCACGTATCCTGAGACCTGGATCGTCTACCTCCCTTTCAAACTCCACAGCACCCTTGAATTTCTGAAAGCCTTCGATCCCGTCATACGAAGACTTGCCACCATCAGAGTCATGAGTACCTCCATCACTACAGAATTGCGATACACAACCACTTTTCTCAAACAAGAGCAACAGCAACAATCGGGAGGACCGTACTCACCGACTTCATCATCCCTTGTGGTCATTATCAGCATCATATAAGAATCATACTTACGTCACGATCTGGGAGTGATGATGGCCTCGCTCGCGCACAACGATGCAGATAGTGTCAGAATTCCTCGTGATGTCTGCAATGCTGTTGATGATCGCAGTCAAAGCAAAGCATTGATGCTACTGGAGGTGACCGTGATGAACAACTCGCCAAAACCCCACAGCCACGTAAAGTCTGCAGACCCATGCCTGCCTCGACGTTTCAGAAGGCCCTGCCAGCTGCCGCCACTGCCTTCGGCGAAGGAGGCCGCAGCTTCCTGGAGCCCAATGGCCTCATGGAGGGAAGGGTCTTGAAGGGTCCGAGACCGTCTGAGGATATGGGCCTGCTAGCACCACCACTCCAAAGCGTTAAAACCATGGCCTGTCACAACTGGCCCTGACCGCAACGACGAAGGCTCTGGCATGGCCATGCCCCGGTTGGTTAGGGATGCTGCGTAAGAGTATGATGGCAAGAAAGATGGTGGTGATGCTGGTGACGGCAATAGTAATGATGGTGGTGGTGCTGTTGCCGATGATGACCGTTATGATGATGACGACGACTAGGCTAACGATGAAGACGACGATCGTGCTGATGATGGGGATGATGATGATGATGATGACGATAACGATGATGACGAGGGCGATGATGCTGATAATGATAAATCATGACGATGAAGATAAAGATGGTTACGATGATGACGATGATGACACTGGTGTTGGTGATGCTAATGATGACGATGATGTTGGTAATGATGGTGATGATGATGACGAGCAGGACGAGGAGGAGGATACGGATGAGGGTCATGACGGTGTGGGTGCTCGTGGTGCGGATGATGAAGGTGTCCTGCCGGTGATGATGACAGATGTCGGTGATCATGATGCCGATGATGATGGTGAAGGCGCGGACCGTGATGATGATAATGATGATGCAACGGCCGTAGCGAGCAGAGAGCGAGAGAGAGAGAGAGAGAGAGAGAGAGAGAGAGAAAAACAAAAAAAAATACGATGAAAACGACGATGATGGCGACGACGGCGGCGGCGGTCCGAGTGGTGAGGATCACCGGTAGGGGTGCTAGTGCTTGCAGTGATAAGGCTTGTAGCGATTGCGGGAATGATATGCTCATGGTGGTGATGATACCGATGATGGAAATGGTGAGGGGGATGCTGATGCTGATGATGATGGTGATGCTGATGACCGTTTATGATGATAGCGTCGTGGCTGTTGGCGTAGACAAGCTCTCCAAATTCCCTGAACGTTTGATTAGACTTCAGGTCTCGGTACTACGGTTTGAGGCTCTTGCGTTCTTCGGAGGTAGTTTATCAGCTGAGACATGCAGGGATTCTGGCTTGAGGCCTCGCGCTCAAACCCAAGGAACCCACCAAAACCCTAAACCCCTGAACCCCAAAACTGTAAACCCGAAACCCTAAACCCCTAAAGGGAACTCCAGAAAGTTGGAATATGGTTTCAGGGTAGGATACCCTATAACTTAGCATAAAGGGTTTAGGATAATCATATTCCAACTTTCTGGCTTTTAATGTAAGCTCAAAGCCCGACAAAGCCAAGCTGAAGGATGCCTGCTGCCTCAGCTGGAAGAGCAGAGACTCCACCTGACTAATTGACGCGTTCCCTTGCTTCAGCCTCATACTTCTGACTGCTGTTCTTACTGATAGAATCTTAGTAACAACTAGTACTACGATCATAATTACTATTCCGTACTAGTATTAGCTAGTTATTGCTTTTATGTGTTTTTTGAAGCGCTCAGGGTTCAGGGCCCCGTGCTTCCGCTTGGAGGCCTATTCAGTTGGATCCATTTCGGCCTCTTCAACTGGCACGGGCTCACGGCATTGGCTCACTCTCAAAAGAACTTGCTGGATACGTGTCCTGATTCTGAATCCAAACCGTGAACTGGATGTCTGCGCAGCCCGAGCTAGCTGCTAGCTAAAACCTACTGCAAACGCCCCAAACATTTCACCTCAAAACACGCTTGTTTTCAAAAAGAGAGCGTAAGCCCTAGAACCAAAAACCTAATTCCCAAGCCCCCCACCTGCAGAAGGTGGCCAAAGAGGTCGCGGAGGGCAGGGTCCTGCGAGGAGGCTCTGAACAGCCCAAAGATTCGAAGGTTTAAGTATTAAGAGTTGGGGGTTTGGGGCCTGGGATTTAGGGTAGTTTAAGGTTCAGGGGGTTTGGAGTTGATGGTTTAGGGCTCGCTTCCGCAAACATGGCAAACTCTGGCCAGACGTGGTGCCTTATGGGGAATGTTACAAAGCCAGTTTCAAAAGTGCATTCTTGACAGCTGCCACTATGACATAACGGCAGAGCTGCCCTGCTACATTACAACATCCAGTGTTGGTTCGCCAGGCTTCCCGATGATTCTGCACAACAGAACCCCGAAACAGTGACCAGAAGAACCAGAATAATGTCTTGCAATGCCACGTGGTTCCAGTGCCCTCCGTCAGCCTAGTGACCCTGAATTTCTAGTTGAGCATACAGCCCCACGGCCCTCGGAAACAAAGGCTGCAGCTCGGCAACCTCAAACCTCTGAGCCACCCCGCCGTCAACCCCACTCCTGAAACATGTCCCGAGGCGATATTATACTGTGCTTTCATTATGTTTCCAACCAACATAGTTCTCACACACACACACACACACTGTCTGTCTTGGTGCTTCTATGCATCTGTCTCCCTGATTGCTTCTCCTGCCATAATTATGTTATAAGTTATAATATTATAGCGCAGTATAGTAAGTATATTACAGTACAGTATGATATTGCACTGTGTACGGTAAATCCTTGACCTGAACCTCGGCAAGAAACCGCAACCGGTTGCCCCGTCCTCTATCTTGATCTCGAGGCCCAATGACTTCTCTGCATCTTGGCCTCGGGCTTGGGTTTTGAGGTTGAGGGTCTAGGGTTGAGGGCTTAGGGCTTAGGGTTTAGGGTTAGGATTGAGGGTTTAGGGTTCGGGGTTGAGGGTCTAGAGTGCAGGGTTCAGGGAGAAGACTCTAAGGGTTCTAGAAACTTCGGGTGTAGAGTTCGATATGCGGTCATCGCAGTGGCCAAATGCTAGGCTGCATAGGAGGAGTGTTCACCTCCCCTTTGGGGAAAGCACGTTCATTGATGCGAACATACGACTGTTACGATCGAAACCTCATCACCATGTGGCTGGAAAGCTTTGCTAAGTAGTGTGCTAAGTGTAAACTCAACTTCGACTCAACGCTGACCATACTTCGCAAGACTAGTCTGCAAGGCCCGGACACTCGGAAAACTACACGAAACAAAACACAAATTGAATGCTTGACTCGGGCGTTTGACCTCGCCGCGAAGATGCTTCGGCACAAGCACTCTCAGTGCCTGCTCCCACCTGAGATCCTGCCACGGAGACCGCCGGCGCATCAGATGTGGAAGTTTTTTTTAGCAAAGCTAATTGAAGAAACCCGAAGCCCACCATAACATGCAGCCCCCAACGTCTTGAAGCCCTTGCCCCAAAGACCAGGCCCCCCGCGTAGTCGCCTCAACGCTTGAGCAGAGGCCTCGCCGCAGGGCTTCTGGAAGAAGGGGGCTTCTGAGAGTTGTAGGCCTGCAGCATTGCAGGTTTCGATTCGTTAGGTGCGAAACTTTACATCCTGCACACCCAGGAACCCTGCAAGAACCGTCGAAACGAGAACAGGTAAAAGCTTGATAGCGAGGACGGACATTGTAATGCTGGTGGAATATGTACTACAACTATCATAGGGAATGGGAGTCTAGGGACATACGACTTAAAGAATAATGACTAATGTGCTGTAATAAGGGAATCTTGTGGTGGCAGAAGCACCAACGGCCTCAGCATCAGCAAAGCAGCAGCGGCGGCAACAGCAGAAACAGCAGCAACAGTGACGGCGAGCCGGCAAGTTCTGCGGACAAAATCAGCACCAAGAAGCATGGAGATAGCAATACGACTGATATCAGTTGGTCGGATCAGACATTCTGATGACACGGAGAGTTACCCGAACGAAACGAGATCAACCCTCAACAGTAACAATCAACCGACATCGCAACAACAACTATAAAAACCACCACGACGATGTGGACGAGGATAAGGTTGTTGTTGATGATGATGATGATGATGCACCTACTGCAAGAGCGGAGAGGCCTGGGTCGTCGACCGCGCCGTGGCACTCAGTTCCACCAGGGCCTACAGTCGCAGCTTTAGCGGCATTAGCGACACAGAGGCTTTGGGATCTTCAGCTGTAGGGCGTAGGGTTTTGGGTTTGGGGTAGGGCCTCTGAATCAAAAGAATGAGGAATCTACCACCCGCCATCGGTGCCTCTTGAAGCGCAGCACGGGACACTGCACCTGGCTCTGGCACGGTTCGCTCGGTGCCCTCCCTGTTAGGGGATGCGTTGCTGTACGAATTCTGATAGTGTCTAAGAAAACAGTGTATCGTAAGGTAATGAAACATGAAATCATGCCACGCAATGTGTTATAATATGTTATGATACAAGCAAAAAGAAAGAGGAAGCACAAGAAGACAGTCTTAAATACAGCAAAATACAATAACACATGATATAACGATGTATGACTTACTATGATTTCAAACAATGTAATACCATGCAATATAATGTTACATACTATAATACTGTAAACCATATAGTCTAGTATGGCATAATGTAATGCAATATAGCAGTCTTATTATAGTCAATTGTATCACATCATGTTACAAAAACAAAACGCTACGTTATGAAAAAGCTTAAAAGCCTTTGTTGTTGGACCTGGGACTCACAAAATCACCTCAAAAAAACATTAAGAAACAAAACGCCCTTCCCCCTCAATAAAAGCACATCGAGCCCGAAAAGCCTATGGGGGCCGAGGCCGAGGATGCCACGGCTGTCTGGTCGCTCATGGCCGGCGTTTCTGGCTTTCGGGGCCTTCTGCTTTTTTTGTTGTGTTTTTGTTTAAGGGGTGTGGGGTTTAGGGTCTAGGGTTTAGGGTTTTTTTTTGGGTTTGGGGCTTGGGGTTTAGGGTTCAGGGTAGGCTTAAGGGCTCAGGGCTTTAGATTTGGGAGAAAGGATCGGGGATACTTCAGGAGGAGCCCTGATCTTCAAAGTCCACGAAGGGGACCTACGAGCTTCCGGTGTTTAGCTCTTGGGGGGTTTGGGGGTACACGGTCTCAAGCTGATGGCCCGCTCACGAGGGGCTGTGGCTTACCCAGCGTTTTTGGTGTTGGGCTTTGAGCTTCAGGGCGCAAGCGAGGTGCAGGTCTCCACTATGCTACTGCACAATCGATCCACTGATTTCCCGAAGGCTTCAAAGGCTACCCTTCGACTGAGGGGTGCGGTTTCGTCTGATGGTCAGCAAATCATTTAAATACCTCGGCCAAGCTTTCACTCAAGAAGGCTGCAGTGAGAGCATGAAGCCATGACGCATCACTTCACCAAAAGCTCCCGTTCATGTCTCAGAGCTGACAGGGTGGGGCTGCCCATGGCATAGTGCAAACATTCAGGGCAATCTGTTCGGTATCGGCAAGCCGAGTTGGCTACGTGCCACTTTTTTTGCTGAAAAAACTAAACGTTTGCAAATCGATCTGTGTGAATTGTTGCAGCAACGACAGCAACAAGAATAGCAAAAGCAGCAAAAAACACTGATGGTAGAGGCAGCTTTGCATCGAGCTGCTCCGGAAGAATGAACCGTCTCTACTCTTCTGGTTGCTGCCTGAATTAGGATGCAATGCACACGCCTGCTCGCAAGTGACCGTTGCCAGTGCTGAGCTCTCAGAACTGCACACGTGCCGCTTAAGAAAAACCCACGCGATTGGATCCACCGACAACGGATAACTGTTCAGCAAAGGACAATGTCTTGAACTGGATTGGCAGTTACATTCCGGCCTGCTAAGGCCGATGAATCATGCGAAGGAATGAGCGTCGCCACTGCCAGCTTTGTACAATCAACATCTGCAGCGGCGTTGCCGGACCGCTTTCCATAAGCTTTGTATGGAGCATCGTGAGGCACCTTGGCTGGACGGCTGGGCAGTCAGCCGAGCGTTGCCAAGATCCTTTAAAAACCTGGCACCTGCCAGCCCTACAGCTTCCAGACATCCGAGGCCTGAAACTTCCGGGCGTAAGCCTCAACATGTCGCCTTGGCCCCGCGCACCGCGCTTAAAAGGAACGATCTGGGCCTGACGTAGGCTCCCAGATGAATGCCAAGGAATCTCCGGATTGATAGCATTCGCAGGGCTTCAAACTCGGGGTAGGGATTCTCAAACGGCTTGGGTTCATGGAGGTTGACGAAAAGATATTGAGAACCTTTGTCATGAGGCTGTACATGTATTTTTCAGAGCATTGATCAAAGCTTCGGGTGTGAGTTGTAGAGGAATAAATAGTCGCAGAGGGGAAAGAAGCAGCAGTAGGAAAAAAACAGTAGCAGCAGCAGTAACACTATAGGCAGTAGTTGTAGCACTACTCCCACTCCTACTACTACTACTACTACTACTACTACTACTACTACTACTACTACTACTACTACTACTACTACTACTACTACTACTACTACTCCTACTACTACTACTACTACTACTACTACTACTACTACTACTACTACTACTACTACTACGACTACTAATACTACAATAACGATAATAATAATAATAATAATAATAATACCACTACGACGACGACTACTACTACTACCACCACCACCATCACGACTACGACTACGACTACGACTACGACTACGACTACTACTACTACTACTACTACTACTACTACTACTACGACGACGACGACTACGACGACTACGACGACTACGACGACTACGACGACTACGACGACTACGACGACTACTACGACTGCTACAACTGCTACGAAAGTTACGACTGCTACGACTGCTACGACTGCTACGACTTCTGCGACTGCTACGACGACAACTCGTCGTCGTCGTCATGGTGGTGGGGGTGGTAACAATAATATTGTTGCTGTTGACAATAATGCTATCGCAGTCATGATACTGATAATGGTAGAAAAATCACCAGGCCAGCAGAAGCTATGAGACTGAGCACGACAGAAATGACAACAATGAAAAAAAAGAACAAGCAGCGCGGCAGGGGCATGGCATTGATAGTTGCGACAGACATTGTAGCACGGTCGCAAGAAGAACACGTTGGGCAGGGGCCTTACTAATTACCTATTACACTATTTTGGTGGTTCTTTCTTATAATCAGAGTAATCATTAAGGCCCCTATAGTACGTATCTCCCCCTCCCAGGGCCTAGCCGGAGTTTGGGCTCCTGCAGCAGGTCGTGGCCTGCTCGGAACTCTTGGTAATTTCGGGTTGCTTTTGGCCTTAGCTCTTCTTTTCCGTCTGCCATCTCTAGCTCAGGAATGCCAGGTTGCCTGAAGGAGGGGAAAAGTTGCTGTTTCGGGTTTAGGGCTTAGGGGAGTTTAGTGCGGCTGCTTCGGTTTGAAGCATTGGCTTTCCTACGTCCCCTGCTAGGAGAATTCCAATCAACATGTCCCGGACCAGGGCTGTCAAAAGCAGCGAGGGGAAGCTTGAAACCCAAGCCGAAGCTCGAAACACTCTAAAATCCGCAGATCCTTGCCCCAGCTTCAAAACCTTACGGTACTCTACCCCCCTTGCCCAGACCTTAACCCAGGAACCCTAGGTATTCCTTAATTAAGGTTTAGGGTTTAGGGTTTAGGGATCTTGGAGTCTCTGGGGCCTCCCAAGGCCGAATCCGAAAGCCCGGAGCCTTGCTTTTGCCTCGGCTGGGGTCGGCCCGGGGCGGCTGGAGAGCGTCCTGCCGGGGGCCCAGGGCACAAAAAAAAGGCGCCGCAAGAAGAAGAAAAGGGGTCCTAAAGGGATCCTTAAGGGGCTCTAAGAAAAGGGCTCCTTTACAGGGTGTCATAAGGGTTACAATAAGGGATCCGTAATGGGCTCTAAAGGGATCTATAGTACGTAGCGGTCGCAGCATAGATCCGCGCACAATCATAACTTTTTTCATCAAAAACGAACTATACAATACTAAACGGACAAACATATCAGCGAACATCATACCCATACTATCAACTATACGAACAACAACGAACATAATCACATGAAGCAGAATAGCGAATCTGATATTCATCCTACTGTACATAATGGATATAGGCGTGTTTGGTGGATCAAGGCTTAGCGAGATCCTCAAAAGCCCCCAAGTGACAGCATGGCACAATGCCTGGATTATAAAACTTCATCCGAAAAGGCTGAACAAATTAAACTCCAAAGATTGAAACATAATCATAATGCCACCACCACCAGCAGCACCACGAAAGCAGCGCCACCGTCACCAGCATCGGCAGCAACAACAATAATGGCACTAGTTATGATGTTCAGATATTCATATTAGTGGTCATGCGAATACGGACATGAAGAAGAACCCTTCCATTCAAGGGCAAGCCCTTGAGACCGCCTCGTCGCTCGAGAATCTGCCGGCTTGCTGCTAGCACGGAGACCGGCTCGGTCTCCTGTGATTTGCGGAGGTTTTTACGAGTTCAGGGTTTAAAAATTTAGGATTTAGGGGATTAAAGGAATAGGGCTTTCGGTGTTTAGGGTTCTGGGGATTAGGTTCTTGTTTTTTTGAACTTTTTTTCCGTCTGTTAGTGCGGCCGCAGCTGAACATCTGGAATCCGCACTTGCGGAAGACCTATAACTCTTGGCTCCCTCAAACATCTTCACGTTCACATAGCACATCAGAACCGGCATCAGTCTGCCCCTGGTTCCCGTAGCTTGGTTCGGCACTTGCCCTGGTGGTTGGGTGTCTTCCGTAGGTGTGTTGTCCAGGATCGTGGCTTGCATGGAAGTCGCGCAGATGCCTGCCCACTGACATAGGCCCTGCGAGTGCTCGGCCACGTAGTTCTCCGAGACGTCCCACAACACCTCTTCGCCACGGACAGTAGCCAGGTTTCGCAACCCTGATTCCCGAAAGCATCGGAAGCGATGAAGCCATTTGTCACCCTGTTGTTGCAGAACCGCGTCGTCCTCTAGTTCACCTCGGCAACAGGAGACAAACACCACCATGACACACGACCGGAATCCTTGGTAGTGGACGATCAGGGTCTGGCTCGGTGATCAGCGGGTCCGGTTCGTCAGGTTCTGGTAGGGCTCGATCGATTCCAGCCCGCACGGCCTTTATTGTCTGAAAAGCGCCATTCGCGTCAAGCTCGTTAATCGCGGCTAGCTCAAGTTGACAGCGCAATTGCGGGGAGTCACATGGCACTATGAGCATGACCAGGCTCAGAAAGAAAAAGCCGTAGCAATTCAAACAAGCTCGGCACCACTTACTGATAGCTCCCGCATCCAGGCCCCAATCCATCTCCAGGTCACATCCCGCCAGCGGCCAGAGCGCCCAGGGCTCCTCGGACTCCGCCTCCGGCTGTGCCGGCGCAGGCAAGGGGAGATCTAGGCCCAAGTCCGGAGCCTTGCCACTCCGGAGTCCTCAGAGAACATTCGCAGGCAGCAACGCCCGGCCACTTGGATGCAAAAGTCTTCTCTACATTTCGAAGCCTTAGCTCTCAGAACATAATCCCCTGCTGAACATTCGCTTGAAGCTCCTAAAACCTCAAGGTTGTCTTCTTCGCCGCGACCTGGTCCCACGACCTTGCAAAGCTCTCGAAGTCCATTTTCTCCAAGCCGAGCGTGATCACAGAGCTCTTTTCACCCACTTCAAGTCCATATCAGCCCATGGCGTGGGCTAAAATTGCTGCCACGACTACTGCGTGTATACGGAGTGTCAAGCAGCAAGGTGCTTGGAAAGTCCGACGCGTCTACAAGTCACTGTGCATCATGTATCTGCCCCTATCTGGGTCCAAATTTATAATACTGAGAGTCGAAGCTCTCCATGTCTTGTAGAGTGCGGGCACGTTTTGGTATCCTTTATCGTGCACGGAATCCACAAGCCGCACGCCACCCATGCCACCGCCAACGCAAATGTCGAAGAGTTGTAACTACCGGTGGCATTGTCAAAAAACGAGCGTTCCTCATTAAAGGGCCGCTGAATCGAGGGTATTAGTGATTGCGTGCGGTCTCTGTTAGGACCACTTCTGAAACTCTCTCCATGCTTTAACCTCCCCAAACCCGAAACCCCCCGTAAACCCTATTTAGGGTGTAAGGATTCCTTCTTGGTGCTTCTCGGAGTCTTAGGGGCACGAGCACTAGCTGTGGCCGCAAACGAACCCAAAATTTTAACTAGGGTACAGCATAGTATCTAGTATAGAGAGTTTATAGCATAGAGTAAATAGTATACAGAATATAATATATAGTATGTTCGAGTATAAGATACAATAACACATTATAGTACAGCGTATGATAGCACGCTACAGTGTAGCCTATTACATCATAGTACATTGTACTACAGTACTGTTTAGTATGGCATATTAGAGAAAAGTATATGATCTTACAGTCTACTACAATAGAGTTTGCTGTAGCATCGTATATCTAGCCTCCATTTTGGCTGATCCGCCGTTGCACATCCGCCAGCCGCTCATGTAGACCTGCCAATTGGGTTCAAGTCTTGGAGCATAGGGTTAAGAGAGGGCCCTCCAAAAAACTGTCTAAGAGAAAAACTGCACCACTCACATTATTGAGCTTGTGGGCATGCCGATGACGATGGTGTTTGTCAGGAGCATGCTGACGGTGATGCAGGCATTCTCCGGAACCTAACCTGCTGAGCTTCACATTACCACACTCTGTTGAACATCGAAACTTCAATGCCTCATTCTCAGGTTTGGCAAGGCATGTGCAGGAAAATGGAAGCCGGAAAGCCTCAAAGCTCTAAACCCCAGATCGAGAATGAGAAAACCCCGGCAGTTCGGCCGTGAGGGCGTCGACCACCAGCTGGTCCAGGCCATCCCGGACTCCTCGCAACACGAGTTCTCGCATCCGGCTTCGGTTTGGGGCTTTCGGGTTCAGGATTTTGGGCTCAAGTGATTTGGGAGTAGATCTTTGGGGCTTGATTGCACTTGCGGTGTTAGGGCTAAGGGCTTATGGTTGATACTGCGTAGTGGCCCTCCTTTAGTATGTGTGCGTTCTGCCGAAATTCTACAGAAGACTAAATAGGCAATCAGTTTGCAGAGCAAGCACAAGTTTGACGTTCTTTGGCTGGAGTTAGGGGTAGTATCATTATCGCCCCCTTATTTTGTCGTACCGATGAACCTACTAGCAGGCCCTGAATCACCACTTTGCTCTAGAAAAACACTGCAAAACCTTGGCTCCAAGGGTAGAAGGAGGGAGCCTTACTAAGGATCCCTAGGTATATATCCTTAATATAGCTGTTATATACCCCTTTCATAGCCCATTATAAGGTAGGGGTCCCCTTTAAGGGTCCCTCCTTTTCCCCTTTGATTGGCCAAAGCAAGCAGGCTAGAACCCTAGAGCCGGAAAGCCGAAAACCGGAAACACTTCAAGCCTACATCCCGGATCCTCAAGCCATAAAACCGCCCAGTCTTATGGAACCACAGAACCCTTCTAGAAGCCTTAGAAACCCCTTATGGTAGGCCTTATAGAACAATAAACCCAGATCTGCAGAAGCCTCATAAAACCCTGTTAATATGAGCCCACTTAAACAACCTCTGGAGACGGCTAAAAGAACCCCATGGAACCCCAGCCCACTTAAACAACCTCTAGAGACGGCTTTAAAAACATGCCGTAGAACCCTACACAACTCGAAATGATGTAACAGTCCCTCGGCCCGCTTGGGCCACCGGCCCGACGGTGCTCCCGCTGCAGCCGCTTCGGTGGCCGGCTCCGAGGAAACTGCCGGAGGTGTAAGGGTTTAACGGGTTTAGGGGTTCAAGGGCTTGGGGTTTAGGGCTTCAGGGTTCAAGTTGGGGGGTTCGGGGCCTGAGGGGATAAGGGACTTTGGAAGGGTCTTCGGAAGGGTCTGGGGTTTAGGGCTTAGGGTTCAGGGATGAGTCTTGAGAAAACAGCGAATAGTCATCGGTAATGGCACGAATTCTAGCAATACGACCCATCATGTTAAGAATATTGCTTCAACCGGGGCAAAATCTGGCCTTGAAATGGGTAGGGGGACCCGGGCCTTACCGCTGAGGATCTTTGGGCTTAGGCTTCAGGGTTGTAGGCTGCATCTTTTCTGCGACTTGTTCGCGCTCGAAGGTGAGGTCAGGATCTAGCAATCTAGCATCCCTTGGTCTGATATACGCAGGGAGTTGTGTCGGTGTTTTCACGTAGCTTCTTGGAATGGCATAGGCCGTGCAAATCGCTGCACCCACTGAAGCAACGGGTCAGTTGGCATCCAAGTTCTTCACCGTGTGTGCTGATCAAGTCTTGCATGTGGTTTCGTCAACCCCGTGATCTTGTAGTATGTCTCGCCCACTGTCACTGCGCAACCTGTTCTTTGGCCAGTTTTCGGAAACCCCAACCCTAAACCCTAAACCCAAATCTGAAAGGCCCAGGCCCAACCTTGCTCCGTTTCCGCGCCGCGCACGGCGAGGAGCCGTGCCAGGAAGTTGGGCACAGCTCCGTCGCTTGTGCAGAGCCTCAGCTGAAGGCGTTCGAGTGAAGGCCAGGGTGGAACAGTTGCACTTGGGGGTCGCAAGTTGGTACGCACAGGTGATCCAACAACGCAGATATGTTGCCTGGGACTTGGGTGGACTCAGGAATGTGCATTGATGAAGCGTCTTAATCTGTGCACGCACCTTAGTCTAGGACTCTCGGAGCTAGAAATCAAAGTGCTGTGTTAAACGGCCACCAACAAAAGCGCAGAACTGCGACTTGGTGCCCCGCGGCATCATATCCTGAAGCATCTCCCAGTTAAGTCAGGTCATTCTCGCAGCTCCAGCTTCAGAATGGCTTCTTCAAGCTTGCGCTGATCATAAACAGACTCTTGCTTCGCTGGCGTGCTAAGAAGCCCTGCGCAGCCTGCAAATGCATGAAATACCCCACTCTCTGTATCTGCGGTCCTGCAACTCCTGCAGATGCGCACGAGGGCAACCTCAACCGGCTCACAGCTGAGAGTTCCGAGTACAAGTGCGGCAGGCAGCACCCGGGTTGTATAGTAATAGTAATAGAAATAGTAATCGTAATCGTAATCGTAATAGTAATAGTTACAGTAATAGAAATAGCAACAGCAATGGCAATAGTAATAGTTATCGTATAGTATAGTGTATCAGTGTGCCCTGGCATAGTGTCGTATAGTTACTATAGAATAGCAGAGTAGATTATAGTAGTATAGAGATATTACAGAGTAATACAGTATAGTATCTCATATTATCAGGTGGAAAATCAAGGGCCGTAAATGCGCGCTAACGGCGCTTTATCGCTATGTTAGAAGTGTTCCATGAATAGAACGCCGAAGAAGCTGCAGCTCTTGTATGCACAAGAAGCAGTCCGGTAAACCTTCACTCATGCGCCTCACAAGCCTATCTCCAAACCCAGTCCGGTGCGGTGAAAGGAATGAAGATGGTAATGATAGGAGTGTGGACCAAAGTATAAACACAGGGTGGCACAGCTAGTCATGTCGCTACAGTAAAGTCGCTGGGGTGCACAACCGAAACCCTGACCCCATTCACATTCGGAGGCTAGGGTGACATGCAGACTGAAGGGTATGTTTCATCATAATTAGAGGGAGTTGCTGGCGAACTTGGTGATGTTGATGCAGTGGATGCTGCCGACGCCATTTTCACTGTTGGTGATGATGTTGATGATGATTATGATGACGATGACGATCGCGAACTTGAACACTAATCGCGTCCACGAAGGCCACGACTTGACACAACTAAGTGAAAAAGCCAAGAGACACATATACCAAAATACATATATGTATACGTACACATATATATATATATATATATATATTTATATGTATATTTATATGTATATATCTATATACATGACATGCACACCCGCAGGCGCAGCTACGGTGAGGAGCACTAGCAGCATCTGCCTAAGCCGACAGCCACAATCACAACCACGACAAGAAGACCTGAATCCTTCGAAACTTTCTGGGTGCCAGGCTACCTTTTCTGGGTGCCGCGATTCCCTGGGCTAGGCCACCTCGGTTGCCCCTACAGCAAGGTTTCTTTTCGATTGTAGGACTTATACGGCTTTACAATAGGAAAAAATGGTGTTTCGGGGTGGGGTCTCTTTTGCTCTGAGGCTTGGGGGCTTTGGGGATTTGGGTTGCGCAGTTTGGGCTGTCGGACTATGCGATCAAGACGTGGGGAGAAAGTTGCAAGCGTTTCGATAGTGGTCTATCATACCATAGTTACAATGGGAAAGTGTTTCGATATTGGTCTATCAGACCATATTTAGGAAAGTTTTTCGATAGTGGTCTATCATACCATAGTTACAATAGGAACTCTAAAGTTACAATAGGAACCCTAAAGTTACAATAGGAACTCCCAAAGTTACAATAGGAACTCTACGGAATAGCATTGGCAGTTCTCAGGCCTCCATATCAGCTTCCGCTACCAAGTACATTCGCATCTTGACTCTTGGCCCTCGAAGCCTTCCAGGATGGCTCAAGATGCAAGCCTAGTCTAGGATACCCAGTAACCTAAGAATAAAAAGGCCTCTCTTTTTGGTATTGGGTAACTTTATAAGGAACCTAGGACTACAAAAAGGGAATAAGGGTACTACTGGGCATCCTAGTAGTTCATGGTTGGGATAGGATTAAAAATCTAATTTGTTATTCCTTTTTGGGTTGAAATATTTTCAGGAACCCTATAGATCCCTTTAAAAGAACCCTAAAGATCCCTTAAAATGTTACCCAACTATGACAAAGAGACCCCAAGCTTCGTTCATGCAAGGAGACCCCGCACCCTGGAAGCTCACACCGTGGGAGGTGCGGGGCTTGGGGTTCGGAGCTACCAGTCCTTGTGTATGTACTTCTTAGTATAGCTTGATGTTTCATATTGTGATTTATTATAATATATTTGATTTCTGTTGCATGACATCATACCACAATATGTTACATTCATACTTTCTCATTGTATCATGGACATTTCGGCCGCCCCAGAACTATCCGGGGTCAACACTATTCCGTTTCGGCTCTTTGCGTGCTGGTTCTGGCAGCCGCCCCCCGGTAAAAAGTCGTGCCGCAAGAAATGGAGATCATCTTCCACGGAATCTCTCGCAGAAACACGACAAACCACACAAACATCAATGTTGCTACCAAACACTTGCCAGAATGCAGGACCTAGGAGGCACACTAGGTTATGTGCTCTTCGCAATACCTATGCCTATCTGAAACTGAGACAACGAAACATGATAGGCGTGTAATCCCGGACTCTTTCCCACTCCGAGCCGTGCACCGACCCCTCTGTGCACCGCCAGGCGAAACTGCAGGTGACTCATAGCAGAGTTGACGAAAAGTCTAGATCATGACGATGATGAAGTGATTGTACTGACTACGCTCCTCGAGATGGTCATAGTGAAGACGACTTCGCTGAGCTTACTGCTGAGTTGAAGATGACGACGATGATGACGGCGACAGGCAGTAAAGGTGCTGATGCTAACGGTCATAAGACTGTTGTTGCTGAGGGCGATTGAAACGACAAAGCCCTGTAGTTTCAATGGCTATAACGATGTTGTTTCTAGAGGTGTTGGATGATAATGAGGGTGGTGAAGAAGAAGATATGATGATGATGGCGATGATGACTTATGGTGATTATAATGATGAATAAGAAAATGATGATGGCGAAGATGATAATGATGATGATGATGACGATGATGATGATGACGAACCCTGATGACCATGATGGTGACGACGAGGAGGACGACGAAGATGGTGGTGGCGGTGGCAGTTCCGTGGTGGCGGTGGCAGTGTGGTGGTGGAGGTGGTGGACGCGGTGGTGCTAGCCGCACTACAAAACCATATGTGGGCACAAGTAGTTGACGATTCTCCGACAGACTTTGTTCTATGAACAATAACGAAAAACCGAAAGCCGTGCAGGGAACCCATATGACAAGTGGTGACAACGAGCATATAAGATAAGCCTAATACCGCTCCGAGAGATGTCCGGCCTTGTACGGGAGCACGTAGAAAGGAACCGGCACTAGGCGGCTGACTGGATCCCTCATCGTCTCCTGGCTTCTAAGACCCTGGACACTGAAGTTGAGCCGTTAAGATATGGGAGTTTCCGAAAACAGGGGGTTACCTTCTTTTGGGGTCCTTAAAATAGGGATCCTACTGTTTAGGGTACCATATTAGGGTCCCCTATTTTCGGAAACTCCCATATGGGCGTTCAAGTTCAGGGTCTGAGGTGTAGGATTCAGGATCTAGGTTTATGGCTCAGCGTTCAGGATTTCATCCTTTCTACGCCGACTACACAGATAGTCAGTCATCAGTCATCTCTTCAGCCGTATGGCGAGCTAGTCTGCATTATCTCGACACTAGGTCACTTTGATTCCATCACCGAAGCCTTACGAAAAGAGCAAAAACATTAGTAAGAATAACAGTAAAATATAGTGCCATGATCAGTATACCGCAAATTTCGAGCTCCAAGCCATGAGCCCACGAGCTCCGGCGTTACAAGGTGGAGCACTTGGTCTCAGTGCTTGCTTGGAGAAGCCGGGGATTTGGTAAGTAGGACTACGATCACACATGTCCCTAGTTTGAGTGCGTAACTACCGATGAACTCTCAAGTCTCAAGCAGCAGTCTAAGATTCCCCTAAACCCCAAACCCCAAACTCCCTAAACTCCCTAAACTCCCTAAACTCCCTGAACTCCCTGAACTCCCTAAACTCCCTGAACTCCCTAAACTCCCTGAACAACCTAAACTCCCTAAACTCCCTGAACTCCCTAAACTCCCTACACTCCCTAAACTCCCTAAACTCCCTGAACTCCCTGAACTCACTAAACTCCCTGAACTCCCTAAACTGCCTAAACTACCCAAACTCCCTGAACTCCCTAAACTCCCTAACCTCCCTAAACTCCCTAAACTGCCTGAACTCCCTAAACTCCCTAAACTCCCTAAACTCCCTGAACTCCCTGAACTCCCTAAACTCCCTGAACTCCCTAAACTCCCTGAACAACCTAAACTCCCTAAACTCCCTGAACTCCCTAAACTCCCTACACTCCCTAAACTCCCTAAACTCCCTGAACTCCCTGAACTCACTAAACTCCCTGAACTCCCTAAACTGCCTAAACTACCCAAACTCCCTGAACTCCCTAAACTCCCTAACCTCCCTAAACTCCCTAAACTGCCTGAACTCCCTAAACTCCCTAAACTCCCTAAACTCCCTGAACTCCCTGAACTCCCTAAACTCCCTGAACTCCCTAAACTCCCTGAACAACCCTGAACTCCCTAAACTCCCTAAACTCCCTAAACTCCCTAAACTCCCTGAACTCCCTAAACTCCCTGAACTCCCTAAACTGCCTAAACTGCCTGAACTCCCTACCCTAAACTCCCTGAACTCCCTGAACTCCCTAAACTGCCTAAACTGCCTAAACTCCCTAAACTCCCTAAACTCCCTGAACTCCCTAAACTCCCTGAACTCCCTGAACTCCCTGAACTCCCTGAACTCCCTAAACTTCCCGAACTCCCTAAACTGCCTAAACTGCCTGACCTCCCTAAACTGCCTACACTCTCTAAACTCCCTAAACTCCCTAAACTCCCTGAACTCCCTGAACTCCCTGAACTCCCTAAACTGCCTAAACTCCCTAAACTCCCTGAACTCCCTAAACTCCCTAAACTCCCTAAACTCCCTAAACTCCCTGAACTCCCTAAACTCCCTGAACTCCCTAAACTGCCTAAACTGCCTGAACACCCTAAACTCCCTGAACTCCCTAACTCCCTAAACTCCTAAACTAAACTCCCTAAACTCCCTAAACTCCCTGAACTCCCTAAACTCCCTGAAAACTCCCTGAACTCCCTGAACTCCCTAAACTGCCTAAACTGCCTAAACTGCCTAAACTGCCCTACCCTAAACTCCCTGAACTCCCTGAACTCCCTAAACTGCCTAAACTCCCTGAACTCCCTAAACTCCCTGAACTCCCTAAACTCCCTGAACAACCTAAACTCCCTAAACTCCCTGAACTCCCTAAACTCCCTAAACTCTCTAAACTCCCTAAACTCCCTAACTCCCTGAACTCCCTGAACTCCCTGAACTCCCTAAACTGCCTAAACCCCCTAAACTCCCTGAACTCCCTAAACTCCCTAAACTCCCCTAAACTCCCTGAACTCCCTAAACTCCCTGAACTCCCTAAACTGCCTAAACTGCCTACCCTAAACTCCCTGAACTCCCTGAACTCCCTAAACTGCCTAAACTGCCTAAACTCCCTAAACTCCCTAAACTCCCTGAACTCCCTAAACTGCCTAAACTGCCTGAACTCCCGACCCTAAACTCCCTGAACTCCCTGAACTCCCTAAACTGCCTAAACTGCCTAAACTCCCTAAATTCCCTAAACTCCCTGAACTCCATAAACTCCCTAAACTCCCTAAACTCCCTGAACTCCCTGAACTCCCTAAACTCCCTGAACTCCCTAAACTGCCTGAACTCCCTAAACTGCCTAAACCCGAAAAGAGGAGTCTTCACCCGGAGCCCGAACTCGACCAATGCCATGGCCGGCCTCGAGCTCAGAAGGCACCAGAGTCCTGGTTTAGGATTCCGGACTAGGCAGTTTAGGGGCGTTTAGGGTTCAGGGTTTAGGGTTCCGGACTAGAGCCTTGGACCCAGACTTTGGTTGCAGAATGTTGCAGACGTAGGTGCAGGTTCGCAGTTCGTTGAAGGCTTACAGTGCTTACAGGGCTGAAGGAACATGTAGAAGAAAGACTTCGGATTCGTTCAGGTTCTCGGAGCTTTAAACGTTAAGCCTTGAGCCGCTAGGTTAGGCTGTTTTCGGGAGTGGAATTTCAGCTTTACTTCAAGTCTTTATTCCGAGCTTGTGACATGGGGCATGATTCAGCTGTTACAGTTACAGGGCGGTTCTTGATTTTTCCGGGCTTGCCAATCCCCTGATCGGGATCTGAAGTTAAGACAGCCCACCCAGATGGTGCCCTCCAACTCCAGCGAAGTCCTGAGCTTCTGGTAGAGGAAAAGGGACGCGTGCCTAGGAGCAGCACAGGAGAGTTGAAGACTCGGAAGGGGTCGCACCACGCTTGCATGCACACAAGGAAATCAAGGCATAAAGCACAGTCAAGTCACAAGAAGAACAGTAACACAGCTCATGCCTTGGGTAAAGAAAAAGAGGTAACATGGCTTCCCCCCGGCGACTCGTTTTCTTCTCGCTTCACTTTGCCACCTCTCCGCCAACCTCCCGCTCGATGAACATATCCAGCCATGCAAAGAGTGGGTCATTCACCTGGGTCTGCCCTAAAAAGCCTCTTGGCGAATGTTCGTAATCAAAAACCCTCTGAGACCCAACAAGGGCCAACAAGGGAGAATAAAACAAAGACCATCCCGATGGCCCAGCGACGTGTTGTCCAGTTTTGCAGGAAACCGCGAAGTAGGGGCACCGGTTCTCGGCGGCCACCTGAAGAGCCTCCTCCTCTGTCACTTCCGGCTCGGGCAAGTCTGCATGCGTGCCCACCAGGCACATACAGCGGCAAGATTCTTGATACTGGCCTGGTTGTTGTTAAGGGACTTATTTCAAGTTACCATAATAGGGATCCATAGCAAACAATAGGGTCTCTTCATTGTGGTAACTTAAATAAGATCCCCTGATTTCAACTTAAACTAAACCCGTTAGCAAGAACCCAGCGGCTTTGAGCATCACGGACGATCTTCAGGGTCTCCTCTAAGGAGGCCCGGCTGCCGAGGGAGAAGACGGCAAGGAAGCCAGCAGCCCCTCTATAGTACCTGGGCTCTTGTTAAGGGGTCTGGGGTTTAGGGTTTTGGGTTTGGGGTCTAGGATTTATCTTAAGGTACCATAAGGAGGAACCATATTGCTATAGATCGCTTATGGTAACTTAAAGTCAAATTCCTTAACAAGAATGCAGGTACGCACTGACAATGGCTCTGAATCGATCCAAGCCAGCCGTGTCCCAGACCTGAAGCTTGAGAATAAGCCCTTCCTCAGACTGGAACCGCAAGGTGTTGAACTCCACACCAATGGTAGCTCCTGGGCGTTTAAGTACCCAGACAGAAAAAGTATAAACTTGTATACCATAATGGTCCCTTTAAGAAAAAGGTAGAAAAGTAGGGTACTCCGAAGCTCAGGCTCTGTACTCCTCGCTGAAGTCCTCTCGACTGAATGCCTTAAGCAGCGAAGACTTCCCGGAGCCAGCTCCCCCGATGAGGAGGCACTTTACCACCACGTCACTGCCACCCTCCCGCTCTTCCTGGCTTGTAGTTTTGGGTCTCTCAAAAAGCATTTATGAATAGATACCTCTATACCCTACCCCCTAAACCCTAAAAGGGGAAATTAAAAATCTGAAAAGACTCATGAATGTATACCTCTGTAGGAACCATACAGGGAAAGTTAAAAAAAAAAGCTTTCCAAATTGCCACCGCTCTTCCCTCTTCGGCACCACGTACTTGCCCATGGCCCTCTTCACCAAGTACCTGCGCTCTTGTGACGAAAGGCCCAGTTGGGTCTAATATAAGGGCCTTAATTAGAAGAGGTTAAAGGGGTCCTTTAAGGGTTACTATAAGGGACCTATAAGGGTACTATAATATAGGGACGGGTCTAGGTTAAAGGGGTCCTTTAAGGGACACTATAAGGGATCTAAAAGGGTACTATAACATAGGGAGCTTAATACTAAAGGCCCGGTTGGGTCTCATAAAGGCCTTTAGGGGGGCCTTAATAGTCAGAACAGGGTTCCTTTTAAAGGGTTTCTGTAAGGTATCTGTATAGGGACCTTAATAATTAGAATAGGGTTTTGGGGCCCATAATACCATAATCATGATAAGGCATCCCCAAAACAGTATCGGTAAATATTAGGGCCCCTATGTCAAGCGCCAAGCCGCAAAGACTCATCTTCCGTGAGACCCAGCTCCCCGAGCCTGCATAGGCTCAATCGACTCAAGGAGGTTTAACGGTGATTCCAGGCTGAGTGCTTTGGGGCTTTTTAGGGTTTAGGGTTTAACGGTTTAGGTAGGGTTTAGGTAGGGTTTAGGGGTTCAGGGTGTGGGGGTTTAGGGTTTAGGGTTTTGATATGCTCTCATCCGGTTGCGTCGTCCAGGGTCTACAGTAGTTGTAGCCAGGTACTGGACGCAGTGTTGATAGCATGTTCATGAAGCGAAGTCAAGGCTTACCCAACAACCCACCCCAAGGCCCAGGATTGCGAATAAATTCTGGGACATTCAGGCTGGCTCCAAGCTTCCTCGAGCCTCGGCGGCCCCTAAACCCTCCTCCCTCTCCGGACAAAGCAACCCAGTTTGACGATCCTATCCACGCCGCTCTCGTATTGATCCCCATGAACCACAAACAGGTTGAAAACCGTACGAGTAGCTGCGATTTCAATTGCTGCGGAAGCTACTGCAAACGATGACAAACAAGGCAGTATCCCTGACAGTCTGATCATAGAATGTAAATTCCCCAAACCCCATAAGGCCCTGTTCTATTTTCTGAGGCCCTACTAGACTACACTTTCCAACTCTCGTGCGGATCCTCTGGCGCCTTGTACTCCGAGCGAGAAGCTCAGTGCCCCGCAGCAAGGAGAGGCGCCCTGTGTGGACCTCCACGGGTTTCCCAAGGCTGAGACTGCAAAGGTCTCCTTTGAAGGGCCTTTGGACTGTAGCGCTTCTGGTCGAGATCATGACAGTGCTGATGACGATGACGTTGACTGCAACAATGACAGTGGTGATGGTGATGGTGACGATGCTGGTGCTGGTGATGACGAAGTGGGTGAAGGTGAGGACGGGGGTGAGGACGAGGATTGCCATGATGATGATGATGCTGATAATGACAATGGTGATGATGGTTGTGAGGAGGAGGAGGAGGAGGAGGAGGAGGAGGAGGAGGAGGATCATAGCCACGGTCATGGTAGCGACAACGGCGAAAACAATAATCGATGCAGCTGTCGTAGCCGAGGCCCCCTGTTTGAAACGAGTGGCTCGGCTTCGTTCGAGTGTATATACTGCGATGAGCAAGTCTATACAAACAACGGCTGCTTTTCGTGGGCCCGTGCCGCACCTGATTTGTTCTTGAAACTTCCGGGGATATCCGAACAAAGACATCTGTCGGTTTCCCGTCAAGCTCCAGCATGACTACTTGCAGTGCAAAGATTGCATGCGTAAAGATATTTCAGTACTTTACATATCTTGTGGACGTATATACTAAGACAACGGCAGAACTATAACTCTTTGGGAACCAGGGGAAAAAGCGTTTGAAGAGCAAATAATCCAAACCCGAACAGCCCAAACGAAATCAACAACAAAAGAAAACCACATACAACATAAAAACACCAGTCAGGCAGTAAGCTGGACAAACAAAAATACTGGACCAGCACATGCACAACCTAAACAAAACAGTAAGGCTTGTTGTGCTGTCATGCGTTGTTTGTTTTTCGTGGTTTAAGCGTTGTTTGCTACCATGTGTGGTCGTTTTTGTTTCTTGCCAAACCCATGCGTCGTTGTTAGCTTTGTTCACTTTTACACTTTCTGCAGGTGTGTTCCGACTCGGGCGAGCGCCCCTATAGATTGCTGTTCATGATATCTTTACATACATTCATACATACATACGTACGTACATACGTATATACATAGCAGACCATGCCATGCCATACCACACGATACCATACGTACATACGTACATACAATACATACTACATACCATATGGGCAAAGAAATTACGATGTAGTGGCACTAGGCAAGTAGTAGAGGGCCTGTGGTGTAGGTTACTAAACAAACCGGTAATCCCCGATCGAACTGCAGGCGTTGTTGGGCGTTCCAAACAGTATGATCTACTGTATAAGATATTGGGCTCCTGAAAGGAAGAGAGCGACCTCCATACGATTACGTAACATGTAATTCTCATGTCGACCTGTCGACCCAACAAATCCACAATATAGAACCTTAATAAGGGATTTGGGATATATTACACCATAGCTATTATAAACGGCCTCTATATTATACCAGAGCTATAATAAATGGCCCCTATATTATACCATAACTACAATAAAAGGCCCCTATATGCTCCTGAAAGGAAGAAAGCGAGCTCCATACGATTATGTAACATGCAATTCTCATGTCGACCCAACAAATCCACAATATAGAACCTTAATAAGGGTTTTGGGATATATTACACCATAGCTATTATAAAAGGGCCCTATATTATACCATAACTATAGTAAATGGCCCCTATATTATACCATAACTATAATAAAAGATTATGACTATAATAAAAGGCCCCTATATTATACCATACCTATAATAATAAAACGAAACAAGGTCTCCTATACCAGGCCGCCTCATCCTGCAGGGACTGGAGCAGTTCGGCCACCGACTGTCTACCAGGCAAGGACGCCTCCAGAACCACCTTCGACGAGTTTCCGAAAACAGGGGACCCTAATATAGCACCCTAAATAGTAGGATCCCTATTATAAGGAACCCCCAAATTAGGTACCCCTAATTTTCGGAAACCCCCACATGGCTTTCAGTCTCGACATCCGCATTGGGACTAATCGCAAAGTCTTTTCAGGGCCTCAATAATTAGAATAGGGTTTTGGGACCATAACTATAATAAGGAAAACCCAAACTAGTAATGGTAATCATGTAGGCCCCTATATTAATCACAACGTCTTGTCACGTCGCTTCCTTGCCTCCCCAGAAGGTGCGAGGATTCGCACAGGCACGGGCGGCTCCTCCTCTGCCGCTTCGCCGAGGGGCTCCGCCATGAGTCGCTGGGTGTGGGGCTTGGGGCTTCGGGTTTCGGATTCAGAGTTTCACATCTAGCGTTTAGGGTTAAGCGTTTATCGGACTTCGGATTTAGGTTTTGGGTGTGTTGGATTTAACTGGTTGGGGTCTAGGATCTGGGGTTTGTGGCTTGAGCTTAAAACAGCTTGCGAAGCTAAGGTCGTGGCTATTGCCAGCGACTCTTGTAAGGTAAGGTCGGTCCCTGAGCAATAGCCTTTTCCGACAAGTATCGGCTTTGCGGGCACCGAGCTTCCGGGTAGTGGGCATCGGGAAGGACGATGGCCTTTCATGAGGCTCAGACTCAACAGGGGAGGGCAGGATGGATCTTGAAACGGCTTCCGGAAACTTCGCGTCTTGCTTAGGCCTCGGGCTTGGGTCCCTGGTGTTCATTGAAAGGCACGAAGGAGCCCAACGACCCCAACACACGACTTCAAGACCTGAAAGGCGAGCCCTAACCCCAACCTCTGCAGCTTCTGGCGCCTGCAGCGAGCCCCACATCCTGCCTACCTGCAACTTCTACAGACGATATCCCAGGACCAGGCCGCTGCGCACCTTCTCTGCGCAGTTAAAAATCACAAGGAACAAACCTGCAGTGGGTTCATCTGCACTGCACCACGGGAAGCTAATCAGCTGTCTCGCGATGCTGCCAAACCCTGTCCATGAACATGTCCATCCATACGAAGAATGGCTCGTGGACCTTCTCTCCGGTCTTGCAGGAAACCGCGATGTAGGGCCACTGGTTCTCCGCAGCCACCTGAAGCGCCTCCTCCTCCGTCACTTCCAGCTCGGGCAGGTCTGCATGCGTGCCCGCCAGGCAGATGCAGCGGCAGGATTCGGGATACTGGCCTTGAGCCTCACGGACGATCCTAAGGGTCTCCTGAAAGGATTCGCGGCTGGCGAGGGAGAAGATGGCAATGAGCCCCTTTGATCCTCTGTAGTACGCATTCACAATGGCTTTGTATCGATCCATGCCTGACGTGTCCCAAACCTGCAGCTTGAGAACGCGCCCTTCCTCAGACTGGTACCGCAAACTGCTGAACTCCACGCCAATTGTCGGCGTGTATGCCGGATTGAAGTCTCCACTAGACACGGCCTGCAGTAACGAAGACTTTCCCGAACGACTTCCACCTACGAGGATGCACTTCACGAGTAAATCGTCCTCTTCTGTGTCTCCGGATGCCAGTGGTGTGTACGTGCCCATGACCTTTCTCACCAAATACCTTGACTGTACAGTGACCATGCTTGTGGCGGGTAATCTTCGTGGCTCATCTCTACTAAAGACTCTCCGACCTCCACGCATTCGGTAAGTAGCCTTGGTCTTTTGACTACTTCTTGCCATCTGATCAAGCTTCAGAACATAAACGCCTTTAAAACTTGGAGCAAACATCTCCCGTCTCTCATCTCCTGGAACTCTATCGAGCATGCGGCCCCCATTGACAAACTTAGGTCGGTCTTGCTCCGAAGAGTATATACATATGTATATATGTATATATATATATATATATACATATATACATATAACTACTATTTATCGAGGCCTTCACCACATGGTCCAATAGCCGTACGCAAAACTTGGACCTTATCGTACAGCGTGTCACCAATGCAACCACGCCCTCAAGCAAGGTATTGTTCTCTTGGGTACTTGTGACCAGCCTGCATCTGGTCTACCATAGGGGCCTTTTTAATTTGAATAAGGTTTTGGGGGCCATTATACTATAAATATAATATGGAACCCCCCATATAGCGTTGGTAATTATCTTAGGCCCCTATACTACAAGCAGAATGCTGGAAATTCAAATTATTGTCTCCTCGGGCCTGAGGATACCTTCTGCCATCAACTTGTCTGCCTGCGCGCTATTCAAGCGATTTCACCGCAATCTGACGAATGAACCGTCATAAAGCCGCAAGCCGCAACCCTCATCCCCAATGCCTAGCAACCAAGCCCTACTTGATCCCAAAAGCCTACAGCCAAGTTCAGACCTTCGGGATGCTACGGGGCTATGGACCCTTAAACAATGGCCCCCCTGAACCCTTAAAAGATCCGAGAGGCTCTGCAATAGAGGTCCCCCTTAAGGGGTACCATACCATAATAGGGCCCCTTTTAAATTCAAAGCCCAAGCTTCAAGGACTCGTCTTCCGCAAGATCCAGCTCGCCGAGCCTGGAATCTCGTGGATCTTCGGTATTGAAGAGCGCTGTCGGATAGTCATAACAATCACAACCATAATCGTAGTAATAACAATAATGATGACAATACTTGTTATTATGATAATCATAATAATCACAACCATAATAGTAGTTAGTAGTAGTAACAAAAATGACAATAATTGTGATTATGATAGTCATGGTGGGTTAACTTTGGCTGAGGGAAGGGCTTTACCCTTGCTTCGAGAATCTTCCGCGTTTCAGGGCTGGGGCTTTGGAGGGTTTGAGGAGCGCTTGCCACTGCATTCTCATTCCCAAGGTGCAGTGGCAGGATTGTGGGGATTCAAGCGCTGAAAGGCTCCGAGGGGGCTCCGCGTCAGCACGGCCCTTGTCATCAGGGCGTTGTTAAGGCTGTCAGGGTCTGTATGAGCTATGTAGGGTAACATAGCTACCTGAATATTGAGAATTCGGGTGCTAACGCATAATTAGTTGTGGCATCTGTTGAGGCTCGGATAGACCCGAAACGGGAGCCGCTGCCTTAAGAAACACCTCCGTGAGCCGCAGTAACTGAAAAGTGGCGACGCAACTCGTGCTGGTTGGCGTTGTCGCATTCGTGAAAGTGTGCCACACGCGCCGTGCAAAACCAAACAGCATCAGGCACGAATCGCACGACAGCATCCAGGCGAGAATCGCAGCTTGCCTTTTTAAAGGCATCTTCGCGAGCAAGTCAAGGTAGAGAAGATCACATACCCCGAAAAAACCCTCAAAGGGTAAACCACAGCTCTGAACCGGATGCTTTACCAACGCAAAACCTGAACGGTTGAGGACTTCGGTTTCTTAACCTCCCAACACACACCACACACGCATGCTCCGTGCCAACTTACCATGTTTGTTCTGACAGTTCGGGCTCTTCTTGGGTTATCATCCTCTGCTCAAGACATCCTCGCATGATCCCGCATGTACTAAAAACATGAAAATCATTGCGAATCTATGCTCATGTATGCCGTTTGTCGCAAATCCCTTCGTATAACCCGTCTCGAAATTCTACGCTCACATCGCCTGGCATCCACCGGGATCAGCTCCGTGCCCCGCAGCAACGAGAGCCGCCCGGTGCTGGCCTCCAGGAGCGGTGAGACGATGTCCTTGTTAATAAGGGTGTTGTACTACATTTGGGACACAAAAGGGGGCCCTAGTTTAGAGAAATGCCCACAAACCCAAACGGCTCAGTGCTTGGAACTCGCGGTGAGCCTTACACAAACTTCAGCCGCCTGCATTCGAAGACCTTTCGAAGGGGTGTCATCAGTCTTGCAGGACTTCAATAAGGAGTGTCGTTGCACGGGACTTTGAGTGGAGTGGCTTCAGGGACGGAAACAGCGGTTCCGAATACTACTGTTGTCATCGCGGCGTGGGTTGTTGGCCCAGTTTCCCGGGCTCGAGCACTTGGAAACCGAGTTTTGCAAGAGCACTTGAGCCCAAACCGCCAAATCTAAACACAGCCTCCGGTCCCCCTTCAATACCCCAACCCAAGATCAGTTGAGCGCGAAGTCCGAAACGACCTCGGCCACCCCGGCAACATGGAAGAACATGGACACAAATCCACACCGATACAAAAACACGTAAACCAGGCCCCGCAGCACCATCTAATCTCAAAACCACGAATAATCCCGAAAAAAAACCTTTATCACACTATGTTACATTGTGTTACACTATATTACATCATATTATACTACATTGTATAGAGTATTACCTGGATGTACTATGTTATTTTTTTATTATATTATACTTTTCTACAGGCCATGCATGAACGAATCGACGAGTCGCCTCTCCTTTCAGGGTCTGGAGCAACGTGGCCACGGACTGGCTGCCAGGCGGCGAGGCCTCGAGAACCACCTCTCGCAGCTGCGGAAAATTCGTCAATATTTAGTACAATATAGCATAATATAAAATAGGGTAATATAGTATAACATCATAGAGTGTAGGATCATATAGTGTATTATACTTTAAACATAAGATGATATAGTACAATATAGTACAAGATAAAAGAGTATAATATAACATAGAACAGGATAATTATAGTATAATGTGATGTATCGGTTTCTTCTTGGGGGTGGTGAGGTATGATTCTTGAAGGAGGGCCTTTACAACTCGTACCCCCTATAGTTCCACGTGTGATTCTAGTCTGATCTGCCCCAAAACCCTGTCCTAAATCTCCTATCTCACCTGAGTTTTGAAACCTAGGATCGATCGAGGGAAAGGTGAGCGGCGGTTGAGCTCTTTTTGGAAGGTTCAGGATTTGTTGGGTTTGGATATGGGGGGGTTAGGGATTACGGTTTAGATGGGTCAAGGGTTTTGGTTGAGTTGTAGGTGTTGGAACATCGGCCTTCCTGTGGATGAGCGACATAGCAAGAGAAAGAGTCGAACGTGGCTCAATATCCAGAATGCCCCACACGTTTCACAGTATCCGGCAACAATATAGCGCAGCATGACTGCGATGGGTCCAGCTTACATTTGTCTGATGCTGAGCCTTTCAGGCGAGGCTTGAACCCAAAACCTTCAAGCTGTAGATTCAAAGCCTTGAGGCCCAAAGCCTAAACCTTGAAAACACGACCTCTGCCTCCAACTCTTATCTTTCCGAATCCCGTAAGCCTAAACCCTCATGAACCCTAACACAAAACCCTAAACCCCAAAAACCAGCCCCAGGCTACCTCGCCGGATGCCGCCAGGATCCGCAGCGGGACCAAGGGATCGGCTTCGCTGACCGGCGCGGCCATGATTTCGGTTTAAGGATTTGAGGGTGTTTTGAAAACCCGACACCCTAAACCCCAAACCCGTGATTTCGGTGATACTTAAGCTCGGACATCTCAGGGTGTTTAGACAAGCTTCTGAGAGGGCCCGGATTATGACGACTAGGTAACTTAGGCGTTTACTTCATGCTCCTATAATCGAGGGACATCAACTGCGGGTTTAGTGGTCCGGCGACATGTCAGCACCTAGAAGGTCTGATCGCCGGAAACCTCACCGTTCGGAGTGTGTAGTCAGGGCTCCAGGGTAGATGAGGACATAAAGCACCTCGCAAAAGTTTTTCTTATGCACAGAAACTCGATGTCGAAATCCGTGTGTGGTCCGAACTGATACCTGCTGTCATCTTGATACTGGTAGATCTCGTTTGTCCTGTGACCCGGGCTACTGACCGACCTTGGTAACTCTAGCAAGGGCAGGAGCAGCAGCAACAGCAGCAGCAGGAGTAGTAGTAGCAGTGGAAGGGGGTAAAGGTAGAAGGGGTGGGAGTGTAACAAGTACTAGTAGGAGGAGTGGGAGTAGGAGTAGTAGGAGTAGTAGGAGTAGTAGGAGTAGTAGGAGGAGTAGGAGTAAGAGTAGCAGTAAGAGTTATAGCGGTAGTGGCAGTAGTAGTGGCAGTAGCAGTAGCAGTAGCAGTAGCAGTAGCAGCAGTAGCAGTAGCAGTAGCAGCAGCAGGAGCAGTAGCAGTAGCAGTAGCAGTAGCAGGAGCAGGAGCAGGAGCAGGAGCAGGAGCAGGAGCAGTAGCAGTAGCAGTAGCAGTAGCAGTAGTAGTAGTACTACTACTACTACTGCTACTACTACTACTACTACTACTAGTGGTGGTAGTTAGGAGTAAGAGTCGTGGTAAAATAGTACTAGAAGTACGAGTGTAGTGGGGGTAGTACGAGTTTTAGCAGCAGTAGGAGTTGTAAGAACAGCAGGAGTAGGAGCGAGTAGGAGTAGGAGTGAGGAGTAGGGAGCAGCCGGAGCAGCAGGAGGACTGGGAGAACTACTGCTGTCACTGCTCCTACTACTACTGCTACTATTCTTTAGTACTCCGGTTCAATCTCGACTGTACTGCACTGGGGCCGCTCTCCCTTTAAACCCGACACTCTGGTCATATGCTTCGATCACGAGATGGCTGCGGAATGTGCACTTGGGCTCGTGCTGAGGGTGCTAATTTCGGGTCCGGCCAAGGGTTCCGGGAAGTCCATTCAATTGTAGCTGCAACGCCTTGAAGTCAGGGCTTTCGGCTTAGCAGAAAGCCCGACGTCCCAGCACGCAGTCAAGCAGGGTCATAAGTGTGAATCCTAAACACAAGACTCCAAATGGGGCATACACCAGCCTACTGCGGAAACATGGGCCCGCCCACAACCAGGATCCTTGCCAAAGTGGTGTTCAGGTTTGGGTAGCTACCTAGACACAAGAGTAACCCAGGCATAAAAAGGATGCCCTTTTTGGTTTAAAGGGCTTATAAGGAAACCTGAACCCTACGAAAAGGGAATAAGGCCCTACTCTAGGTCCTAGCTGCAGTATTTGATCAGCAGATCATCCACAATCACAGCCAGGAACGATTTGGGGCTTCGATCCAAGTCTCTTTCTCAAAGAACCCTAATGTAGGCGCCTCAATAAGTAGAATAGGGTTTGGGGCCCATTATACTATAATTATAATGATGAGAGGGAAGCCCCAAAGTAGTATTGGCAATTATTGAGGCCCCTATATTCAATTTGAAGGGCTAGCACGGTGCACAGCTAGGTTTTATCAAGCTGAGCCCTCATGGCCCCGGGCAGCAGCCGTCCGAAGGAACCGCGGCCTTCGTCACCACGGTTTGGGGCTGTCGTGCGTGGCATTTTAGGTACTGCCCCCCACAGAGTAAGAGTATATAAAAGGGCTACTATTAAGGTCCTGATATATCTGTATTATCAATATTATTCAACTATTACTGAGTGGGGGCCGTACGCAAGTGGTATTGCGGATTCAAACTTACAAGACTTGGATGCTGCACAAGGAAGCCGAAGCCACAATACCTGGAGCTCGGTACATGGAACTGTCCGACAGATTTCCAACACAGACCAAAAACATTGAAATCGCACAGCTACTGTAACAATCATTCTTAGATCGGGCTGCTGCCTCCGGGTCGAGGCAGGAATGATGATGGTTTGTTCAGGGCTTCGGATGCGGGCTTTCGGGCTCAAGGCTCGCAAAAGGTTCAGGGTCTGTGGCTGAGAAGGATACAGCTCGCTGGCATGAGGTTTGGGGATTTTGGGGTGCAGGGCTGACGTCTCAAGCTTAGGGTTGGGGACTACTGTATTCCTATGGTATGGGGGCTACTCCTATACCTAGAAACTAGATCTTCCGAGGTTGAGCAGACGACAACACAGGCGGAAAAAGATCGGTAGCTCTCAAAAATGTTCTGACCAGGACATCTGCAAGACTTCTTGCAAAGAACCGTGCGCCTCACCATGCTTGTAGAGACATCTCAACTTCACAACGCTGCAATCATAACAACTTGCTTCAACATGCCGACAATGCTCAGAAGCACCCTCACTCCCACAACTCTGTTCTACACCCTCGCGATGACTTCTTGGAGCTCCAAGACCTTGCACCCTAAACCCTGCCCTCGAATGGCTCACAGCTTTTGGTCTGCCCAGTCCATAGTTCAAGCTGTGCAGGGTTTGGGCTTGGGAGACATCGGGGCTTGAGCAGCCCAGCCTCTGAAGATGTCAAAACAGAAGCCCTTGCAGCACTCCTCGACCTCAACCGACACACCCACAAACCCCCAAGCCCCGCCCAAGCCCCAAGAAACCCAAGAATTGAGCCCCGAATCCTGAGCTGCGCCTATCTCGAGAGTCGTCTGCAAGGCTTGCCCCTGGAGGCGCCAGAATGCCGTCTTTTTGAGACGAGCCTACGGCCTACTCTCTGCGCGACAAGACCAAGAATGTGGAGCTTGGGAGTTAGTCTTCGGAGCTCACGAGACCAAAGGGCTTGGGGGTAAGAATGCACTATCACACCGCTGGCCCAACTTGTTTCTTCGTGTCGGCTCCACGCCTTGGGAGTGCAAGCGGCTAAGGTTGCAACAACCCGCTGTGCGCCCATCACCGCGAACGATCCCAATCCCTGAAATTCGCAGCCTATCCCAACCAAGTCCCAAGTAGACATCACGGACGGGTACAGCATGGGACAGCTATTCTGTTCCATTCTGTAAATTTCATCATACTTTATTCAATTCGTTATATCATTTTATGGGCTAGGCTACCAATGTTTTGCCCATTCTCTTCACAAGCCGCCTTGGACCACCCAGTCCCAAGCCCTCGAAAACTCCCAGAACCTGAACCCTCCAACCTCGGCGAAGTCGTTGAGGGCGCCGGGAAGCTGCGAGGAAAAGGGCTTGAAGGCATGGGGTGTAAGCCTCCTGCTTTTCACATATAAGAGGGTTGAAGATAAAGTTGCTTTGCAGGAACACGGTGCAAGAGACGTGCTTCGGAAGCTGGGCCAGATCAAGGTATGGGCTTCAGGTGCTGGGCACGGGATGGGTGGAATGCTCTCGTCGCGGCGAAGATAACCCTGTTCTACCAGAAGGCGAAACTGGCTGAAAGCCCCTTCCACGACACGAAGTTCTCGCATCATATCAAACAATGAAAGCAGCAGCAAGAGGGCGCAGCAGGTCCAGCAGGAACAGTAGTATGGCTGCAGCTACAGTAGTGCAAGGGAGCCTTGCAAGCTCTCTACGCCTGTCAGCCTAGATTGCGGCACTGCTCCCCCCAGTCGCAACGATGCCTCCGCAACAGCTTCAGCCACGCGCTTGCGGAACTCAAGAACGAAGCCTTCCAGCTCTGCTCTGAGGCGTGCACAACACCAAGACCCCAAAATAAGAAGAGCCGCAAGGGAGAATGCTTCGTGGGTACGGTTTCAGACTCCATCGGAGTTTCACAGATCAAAGGCCCTCATCGACATGTGTCTTCGAAGCAGACTAGAGGACGAAAGTGTCCGCTCAAAAACCCGGCCCTGCTGCAGATCTCAACAATCTGACCAAATTGCCTGGCCGTTAAACCGGATCCCCACCAGCGATTGCCAGCGATCCTCTTGAACCAGCATCAGGAAAGCAAGCATCAAAAGAAAAGTCTCAACCTCAATCCAAACGCACTACAGTACCAAAGCCCAAACAATAGACATCCACAACGGAGTTTCGCTCTGATGCGATGCAGACCCTGGGACACCCGGCTCTTCATGACGGAAAGCTTCCTCTCGAGCGATCCTCCACAAAAACGGTGTGTTTTTTGCTGGGTCCTCAGCTCAGTTTAAAAGCGTTGACCATTGTCCTCGACCATGAACACTGCTGTGTTTTTTCAATGTGTATGTCCGTATGTACATATATGTGAATGCACAGCGGTGTACATGCAAAAGCATGCGCGTATCCTTACACTCTCAGCCCCAAGGCTAAACCCACTCCCATAAATGCGTGGTTGTCAAAATTAGGGTCCCTCTTTGGGGTTCCTATTATAATACGGCACCTTATATTTAGGGTACCCAAAAAGAGATCCTAATTTTGACAACTACCCATAACTGCAGCCCGGCGAAGCTCCTGCTTCGATTTGCCCGTCCGAGGTTTCACCTCTGAAAGCCCGCAGTGGCCTGTTTCTAAGACCCGCATCTCTGAAGCCTCTGCAACACAAGATCGAGCTTCGATCCAACTAGAAAGCAGATCTTGAGGCTGTTGTGACGAGTAGATCACAACTCCTGATCAATGAGAGCTATTTGCATGCGACGTGGAATTTGTAGGACCTTTACTTTGCCTCCCGAAGCTCGCTTCCGCACATCGAGGATCCGGGGCGATGGCAAGCATCCCCAGCCACCGGCCCGCCGAAGACCTGCTTCGATAACCAGGATTGGAATACATTGGGGGTAAAACGGCTTGGGTGCTACACTATAGGACAATGATAGCGGGGCGCGCCCTTCTAGTTGGGGCCCTTGTGTCTGCTACCAGATGCAAGT